CATCGCTGCAGTGTCTTTAACTTATAAACCTGCTCTCATTGGACATCCAAACTCCGCCTATCGGCCAATGAGAAAAGAGCGCGCTGGACAAGATTTCAACGGCGCACTCTTAACCCTTGAGACCTCAGAAAGCAAAGCATGTCCAAACATATGCTCCAAACATTTCATTAGACACCGACGAGTGTAGAGAAATTAAAATGACTGACCATGAAGTCGCATGAGTTTACTCCGGGTGCTCTGGTTTCCCTTACAGACCAAAGACATGTACAGGTGAATTGGGTAAGCTAAATTTTCCATAGTGTATGAGTGTGTGTGGATGTTTCCCAGAGATGGGTTGCGGCTGGAAGGGCGTCTGCTGCGTAAAAACGTGCGGGATAAGTTGGCGGTTAATTCCGCTGTGGCGACCCCGGATTAATAAAGGGTCTCAGCCGACAGGAAAATGAATGAATGATATTTGACTTACAGTTTTTATATTTACAATTATTAATAACCTATACATTAAAACACACATTACAGGCCTAGATAAAAAAAACACTTATAGAAAAATAAAAAAACAAGGCAAATAAGCAAACAAATAAATAACCTGGGGTTAAAATAATATAAAAAAACTATATTAATAATTTATAACTAAAATAATTCATATAAAAATTTGATTAAATATAAATAAAATTAATTTTTGTAGATGTTATCCGCTAGAATAAAAAGAGTTTTTAGTTTTTTAAAAGCCATTTTAAGGAAACAATTATTTGCCCCTTTAAGCTATATATATATATATATATATATATATTTTTTTTCGATAGAACAAACCATCCTTATACAATGACTTGCCTAATTACCCTATCCTGTCTAGATAACCTAATAAACCTAGTTAAGCCTTTAAATTTCATTGAAGCTGTATAATCTTAAGAATAATCTAGTCAAATATTATTTAATGTCATCATGGCAAAGATAAAATAGATCAGTGATTATAAATGAGTTATAGTAATAATTCTCTTTATATGAAATTGCTTTTTGCAAGGTTTTTTTCAAGTTTTGCAAACATTGCATGTCGTAGATTTTCTGTGTGTATTACACATTACACCATATTTTGGTATGTGGTTTATAAATAGCTTGTGCCCTGCAGTTGATTGCTGTTGTAAAATCTCAATAGCAAACCTCAAAAACATCTCAGATTATAGATCTCCACAGCACTGAAAAAACAAGTCTATTATAGGAGGGCAAATGAAACCCCCACATACGCGTTTAACATCAATAGCATGCACAATACACATTAAGTTATTTGGATTCACAAATAAAATATGAAAATATTGCAAAATCTTTTTAAACATTAAAAAAAAAAGTAAAATGAGGTATTACATAAAAAACATACATCAAATAAATCTGCCAACATTGTGCACATTAAGTTCAAAGGATGTAAAATCTATGTACTGTGAGCTATTTAGTCAGTTTAATAGTTAGCTGACATACTTTACACACTAGATGGCGCTCATTTACAATAATTTGATCTAAAGGGTTTTTGACGTTCTATTGCAAAGTATATACAAAGCTAAATCAATATCTGTTCTATAGAGTTAAGCACAATTTTATCAAATGCTCTAGAAATCTGAATAGAAATCTCTGGTGTACAGTCAAACTTTAAAAATCAAGTGGAGTCCAACTAAAATTATATATTTTGTGTATTTTATTTCAGGTTTGAGGTTTTTGTAAGGGGGTAGGGGTTTATCAATAAATTATTTAACCTATGATTTAGATGTTGTCTGAAGCAGTCTAAGTGCACATTTGTAGTCAATTCAGAAAGCAGACACTTTCATTTTCTCACATGTTGTTGTTGGAGACAAACCAAAAGCTAAGTTTTCTTTTCTTTTAAGGAAACTTTTCATGTGGAAGTTGCTGTTGTGAAAATATGTTTCATACTTGTTTATATTCTTTTCTAATATTTGTATTGAACAGTATAATTAAAATGTACAGACAGTGGGGGCTGAACATAAACTTCTGAAAATATAAGGTGACTAAGAAAGGCCAGTTAGTCCTTTCTGATTACACCCATCCATTGTGTACTAAATTTAAACTACTTCCTTCTGGCTGGAGATTTAACAAACAAAAACTTTCAAAAACTCTATCTTGTGCAAATCAAACAGATATAATTGTTATGTTTTGCCCTCTGAAATCATTACAAATTTGCATGTGTGTTGGTGTTCTTGTCTATGTAGAATTGCTATATTTAGCCTGGGTGCATAGAGTTTCATTTAAACAATATTTGAAGAAATTCTAAACTTTAATTAAAGTTTATGCAACGTTTATATGTTGCAAAGTCTGTTAATTGGACGTTATTTAAATAGGCAGACTAGAGTCTATTGCTGAAAAAAAGCATATCAGGGAAATGAGAGTTTTGTTGTTTTGGACTAATGTTTGACTTTTCTTCCTTTTCTGTCAGAGGTTACATAACACAGAAATCTTCTCACTACAGTTATCATCTCACCATCATTGTATCATTCTGAAAAGGTGTTGATTCTGTCTGAAAAAAATGTCACGGAATTAGCCAAACAGACTCACTCATAAAGAGCAAAACAACTCACACTTTCTTATCTATATCAGGGATCAAAACCATCGTCTTTCATTCGTCAGGTGATCAAAGTGATGAGTGGTAAAGTATTGATACACATATAGGTGGGGGATTTTAAAACTGTGCTGTACATCACTCTAAATGTATGACCAATTTCCTGTGAACATCCCTTTGACTGAGGGATAGCTCACAAAAAAAAAAAAAATGAAAATATAACCTATTTACTCACAGTAAACTCACGAGTGGTCAGAAATTAGTTTCATTATTTTGTTGAACACTAAATTAGATGTTTTAAAGAAAGCTAAAAAGCGATTGGCTTCCAAAGTGGGAAAAGTCAATAATTACAAGTGTCTAGCTTTCTTCAAAACATCTACTTTAATGTCAACAGAAAAACAAATGGCTGACTCACATTTTGATGCTTAACCAAGACGTCGGAACAACTTTGGATTGTGCAAGGAAATGTCAAATTTTGTTATTTGTCACGTTCATTTCTCAGAATGAGCTGCACTATGTAAACAAATTGAAAGGATGTTCTTGGTTTCTTCAAATTTTATCAAAGCCACTGATCACCATGTGGTTAGCGTTGTTCGTGCTGTCACAGAAGCATGTTCTATGTTAGCAGCGAGCTGGGTAAAACTCTTGACTGAAATGTAAAGTGGAAGCTTTTGAGACGTCTTCCCTGTTCATAAATAACATTGCTGCTTGGTAGACACTGAGAATGCCAACTACTGTAGTATACAGAGACTCTTAGTAGATTGGCAATCAATATAGATGTCAAGGATTACCTTTTCCTGTATGTCTGTTGTGGGTTGATAAATGAAATGTGTACTGTAGATCTTGTTAAGAGCTAGCAGGCTAGCCTTGTGTTTTATATGGCAATGTGTTTCCTACACTGGGCCTCCTAACGTTGAAGTCTCTGAAGTGTGAATACGTCTCTTCCTGTGTGTGTGTGTGTGTGTGTGTTTGTGTGTGTGTGTGTGTTTGTGTAGAAAGAGTGATGTTTGACATCTCACAGCACTCATATTGCATTCTCTACACTATTTCAAGTAGCCGTATATTTTATATAGATAAAATTCTAGTATCGTTATTGTTTAGATTAAATGCTAAATAATACTGGATTTGTTGATGGCCTTTGATAATCTAAGCTTGAAATATGTCTTAATTTACATTTAAGTTGTTTTTTAAGTTGAATTTTTAACTAAATTATTGAGTTTGTCCATATTTAGACAAATTTGGGCTGTAACAACATAGCATTTTTTAGAGTGCATATTTATTTATTAATACAATAATCTCTTTTCCCTTTCAGAACCAATTCATTTATATTTTATTCAACATGAAGTGTTTTTCATCACACACACACACACACACACACACACACACACCAAAGCTCAAAATATGTTTCCTTGAAAGCTGTAGATATTCAAAGAAGTGAACTCTTTTGACAGTTCATTTCTGGTTTTCTGAAATCTGTCAAATGAAACCGTTCACTCATTTCACAAAAGTCTCAAAGGCTTTAGAGTAATCTAAGAAAACTGCTTGCTCCCTTAAAAAAGACAAGTTTCCACAACACGTCTTATTCTATAATTTAACAGTGCCAACAGATATCACATATCAAACTTGAAATTTAATTCTATTAGTTGTTTAATGATAGAAAGTATTTGAAAAGAAGTAAAAAAAAATTTGGAAACACGTTAATGACAGAGCGGCATCATCTGAATCACTTAAAAAGAACTGTTTTGTTTCATAAAGCATATCCAAATAGACATAGAAAACAACACAGATCCACGCCTGACAGCACACACACACACACACATGAAAACAATAGATATAAAACATAAACTACAATAAAGTCAATAGTGTGTTATAAAAAAAAATGCTGTAAAATCATTATTAACGGAAATCTAATGTTTAGTGAGAAAATTAAAGAAAAGCTTCTTAAACCATAAGTTATTTTAGGTTTCAGGTCACTAGCCTCTACAAAGTTTACTTATATGTTAAAACTTCTATTCTGAGTTTACAGAAGTGAAACTGTTTTTCCACACAAGTCAGTTTCTAGACCTTTGAGAATTAAGATTCAACTATATGGTGATCTTTGTCTTGCATCTAGCCATATCGTGAAGACATTTTGTGTGTAGGATGATTTTATAAAAAAGCATTTGAACAAAGTAAAATTTATTTTTCACACACACAAAAAACTTTTTTAATTTTTTATATGACTTTCTACCATATCTTCTTTTGTGTCATCATGTATGAACACAAACGAATTGGTGACATCCAGTAGAAAATAGAAATGCTACCAATAGTTGTAGGTTGCCAACATTCTTCAAAATATCTTCTTTTTGTTCAAAAAAAAAAAAAACATAAACTGTTTTAGAACTAGTCAAGAGTGAGTAAATGATGGCAGAATTGTCAATTTACTGAAATGTAACAAAAAATATAGCACATTTCCACCCGCACAGAAGCAGCTAAATGTTTTGCTTGGTGCTTATAATGGCCAAAAATGCTGTGCATATCTAAATGTATGCTGTCTAGGTAGGCAGTTCAATAGACTCTGAGACAGCCTATAAGATAGTATTTTTAGACTGTAGTTCTTTTGGTTTTTTTTTCTATTGGGAAGGGAATAACCCACACTCTTCCGTTAGCTGCTGACTGCATGTGTACCCGCCTGTCAGAGGAGGCGACAATGCGCAAGTGTTCAGCTGCATTTTACTTCACTCTAGGTACGTACATTAGATGTATTTTCAAGAAAGTATTTACATCGAATCTGTCACAGTATAGTAGTTCATTTACATTTTTGCTGAAATTAAATTTGTTTTATAAATATATATTTCAGGTTTCATATCTGTCTGTACAACTGAAGCATCAGCAGGTCAGTACGATGGGCATACATGTTTGTGCTCTGTGTATATGTGTGTGGTTTGAGATAATATTGAAGCTCTTTTGTGTGACATTTCAACTGGTAAATATCGCATTTAAAATAGTAAATAATAAATCAAACTATTAAAACAAAGTAATGTTTAAGATTCTGACAGGCTTTCTGGGTCAGACAGCCACAACATGAGAGCTTTGAAACAAAAGATCTTTGTACAGATTTTTTGTTTAAAACTCTTTGAAACATTTTTATTCTGGAGCACAGAAGATTAATTTGTGCAGCTTACTACATTTAGCTGGTGGACGAAGATATACGAAAAACTCCTAACATCTTTATTTTGTAAGCTGTATGTTTTATGTTTTTACAGAATCTTCTTGCTGCAAAACATTGTCAGAGAAAGATCAATGTAACACAGAAGGTAGGAAACAGCTATTTCTATGAATTGTGTTTGCTATGCTCAGCATAAATGAGTAGACCCCTTGCTGATATTTTCTTTTGCAATAATATATTTGTGCATTTATATTATACTCAGCACCAAAGCCAAAACTGGAATCTAACAATAAATAAATAAATAAGATCAGATTCTGAAAATTAGTACACCCAAATTAACATGTTGGAGGAAAATAAATTTTAATAAACAGGAAAAATCAAAGGAAACATAAAAATATAACATTTAGTCGAACGCAGTTTTGGACAAGTTTTTGGAATAATTTGTTTGAATTTACATGTATTATCTTTCTATTCCTAAAGATGTTAGGTGACTAAACCCTTATTTTAATGAATATAATGTTCACTAAAATTGTTGTGCTTAAATGCACCTAAATATATCAGTTATATTCCCTGAGAAATAAAAAAAAATATTTATTTTTAAAAGGGTCTGCACTCACGCTTTATACTCATTTATTCTTTGGTCTTGTTGGGTAGGGCAAGAGACGTTATTTACAAAGTGGAAATAAATTGCCCTGACAAAAAATTAACGATAGAAATAAACAACATCTTATTATCTCAAATAGCCTTTTCTATGTAACATAAAATAAACATAAATAAGTTTCCGTTTTAACCCACATATATTGTCCTTTTATTCATTGCTCACCTTCCACGGGATCAACCTGTGGTTGAATGGATGAATGGACAGTCATTCAGGAGTCTGTATGTCTAAATTGGTTAAATGTAAATGATACTTTGTTTTTGGATATACTGAATACAAAATTTAGTCATAAGCTTATGTTTGTTTGTTTGAATGTTTGTTTGTTTTTTCAGGGCAAATAGGCTAAATAAAAGTTGTATAACTTTATAAATAAAGTTAGAAATTCTATTAGTCTCTCTCTCAGAAATAAAGGTACGTGAGCTGTCACTGATGTGGTACCTTTTTAAAAGATACAAATTTTTACCTAAAAGGTCCATATTAATACCTCAAGACTATAATTAGTACCTAAAAAGTACAAAAGTGTTCCTTTAAAAATTTTTAGGTATACAGTATACTTCTGAGGTACCAATATGGACCCTTTAAGAACAAATGTGTACCTTTTAAAAATGTACCAACCCAGTGACAGCTCACAAAGCTTTATTTCTGAGAGTAAATGCTTAACATATTTTATTGTTGTATATCTAAATAATTCATGTTTATAACAATTGATAGTTCATATTACATTGTTCCACCATCGGATGGCAACAGACACAGTATAATGATCATCCTTATTTTGGAGGGCTGTTGAATGCTTGATTCTGATTGGTTGATGAACATTTTAAGGTGTGCAGTTACTGTCACTGAACAGCATGGCTAATATCCCAGGCAGGTTTTGACCATACTGTATACAGTTTCATATCACTACACTGAATGAATTTGGATATTTTACCATCTACAACTGAATATCAAATCACAATGAAAGAAAAGGCATTTGGATGAGATGCATAAGAATCTACACAGGAGGAGTCTACATATATTCACCAATGGTCAAGATGATTATTAATACTCAAATGAGTGTTTTTTGTTTAATCTGTTATGGTTTATCTTGGAATAACTTACTATGGAATGTTGAGATTGGCCAATCAGAAGCAAGTATTCCAGAGTGCTTGTAATAAAGCAATTTAGTGTTTGCTTTGCTTTGGCTTTTATAGGGTAATGTTGGTGGAGAATAAGATGGCATTCTGAAAATGTATCAGTTTTATTCATGGTGTTTCTGTTCCTGGTTCCTGATTTCCCTAAGACAAACTCTATATAATGTGTTTTTGAATTAGCAATTCAGACTTTTGTTTAGCAGTTAATATAGTCTGCTTCAGGTTTGAATTTGTGGCAGAAGAAAGTTCCTCACACTAAATGGTTTATAAGAAGTTTTAATTTATAATATAATTTAATTTATATTTATGAAGATAATAAGCTGAAGAAAAGTGAGTGAATATAGAAAATTACTTTTTAATTACATTGTTTTACACCTTTAATTTTTTTTCCTTAGTCTTATTGTTTGTTTCAATTTATGGAAAGCCATATGTGTTTTTTTTATGTAATCAGTGGATATTTTTTATTTCACAGGTGTCCATGATTTGAGATGCTTCATAAAGTATAAAAAAGCTCAACCTATGTCCATTTGTGAATGGAAGCAAGCAGACAACATTTCAACCTCTTACAAATTCTACTCTCAAGTGTAAGTTTGCAAACAATTTCAACTTTTCTTTGATTGTATCTTAGGACGGTCTTCAAACATTTTAGCTCCTGATTAATTGATTATAATTATTTGGACCAAATTTACAACTTCTCTGTTTTAAAACTAACAATCTAAATCGTCACATTTTAGAATTGTGTGTTTCAGAAAAATAATAAATGAATTCAAGTAAATTAATGTCAGATTTCTTTCCACATTTTTAATGTAATTTTGAAAAAAAAAAAAACTACAAAATTAAGGTACAAAAACAGAAAAATGTCAAACATTTACCTCTCTTTTTCGCAAATAGCACATTAATCTTGTTGCATGTAAGTCTTCTCTATTTTTATTTTTTTATTTTATTGGTTTGTTTGTGACACAGTTGCTCAGTGGTTAGTACTGTTGCCTCACAACTAAAAGGTTACTGGTTCGAGTCCTGGCTTGGCCAGTTGGTCTGTGTGGAGTGTGTATGTTTTCCCTGTGTTGGTGTTTGTTTCCTCCAGATGCTTCAGTTTTCCCCACAGTGCAAAAACATGCCGTATAGGTGAATTGAATAAACTTAAATGGCTGTAATCTATGTGTTTTTGAAGAGTGTGTTTGGATGATTCCCAGTACTGGGTTGCAGCTAGAAGGGTATCTGCTGTGTAAAACATGTGCTGGATAAGTTTGGCGGTTCATATTACTATGTCGAGCGCTGATGAATAAAGGGACTAAGCTGAAGGAAAATAAATGAATGAATATTTGTTTTTTTGTTTGCTTAAATGTTTGATTGTTTTAGGGATAGGCTGAATTGTGGACTTCCTATTCTTTTGTTGTCCTACTGTATGTTTACGTTTTTACTATCTATGATATCCTTCTATGACTTCCCAAGTTCCATTCCAGTCCTAGCATTACATTTTTCTTTAGTCCCACCTGAAGATGTTTATATGGTATGGTGTTATGAGTTAGGTAATGAGCAGTCTTTTTTATTGTTGACAGCTGACACGACAGAATATGTTTTCAAGTATATTATCACATAGTTTTTGTCTTCACTTCACATTGTTTCTACTTTATGAAGTTTATTTATAAAATAATTTTTGAGAGGATCATGTGCTTATAATTGACCATGGCTGGTCCCACATTAGCTATCGCATGATTAATCAGTCAGACGAATCCAAACACCTAATAAATAACCAGAATTATTTTTGCCCCCATTCATCCCTACTCCTCCCCCTCTTTCCTTGGTTAATCCAGAATTGGGCGGCATGGCAGCTCAGTATTTATGTGTGGAGTTTACATGTTCTCCCCATGCTCACATGGGTTTCCCTCGGGTACTCCGGTTTCCTCACACAGTCCAAAGAAATGCATTATAAGTAAATTGAATAAACCATTTTTTTAAAAGTGTTTGAGCATTTTAGTACTGGCATTCCCGCACAAAAATATGCTGGAACAGTCCATAATGCCTCAGCAACCCCTATAATCAAGGAACAGGCTGACATTGAAATGGGCGGGAGCTCCGGGCTCAAGGATTTTCTGAGCTCAGGGCTCTCTCCTGGGACAGCATGCAAAACATGCCTTGTTTTCAATCATCGGCTAAGTGTGAACTCTTAAATTGATTTTGAAGTTCCCCTTGCCTGGCGTTCTTTGGGTCCGGTCCTCCAAAGCGGTGCATATAAAGTTGCTTATTTTCCTAAAAGAGCAACACAGTCGTGCAGCACGTCCTTTTCAGGATGGCGCTCCGACTGTGCGTTTCTTGATGCGGGGGTTTCCTGTCTCCGTATGATGGGCACAATCACTGCGTTACATGTTTGGGGGTCCAACATGTTAATTTGGTGCTCGCGGATGGTCCATGTTGTCACTGCGATGCCATGACCGTTGTGCAGCTAAGATCGCGGCTAGCTCTTGTAAAAGGGCGAATCACCCCAGCTGTCCCCTGCTCTGCAGCGGGCACTCGGGCAGATCTAAGAGTCTCAGCGGGAGATAATCCGCCGCCCACGGCCTCGCAAACCTCCCGCCTCCTCCAGGCGCTCTGGGGTTGGAGATGGTTCATCCCCCAGATCCGCGGCCGGACCGACTAGATGGGTGCCTTGTAGAGGATCAGAGGGTGAAGCCCTCAAAGCCTCTCGTCCCCTTCTTCCTGGAGGTGTACAGTAGGCTCACGCAGTCTTGGAGGGCACCTTTCTCTGCCCGTACTGCGTGTCCCTCCGCCCTCACCACCCTTGACGGTGGAGCAGCCAGGGGGTATGAGGCGATCCCGCGCTATCGCGGTCAATCTTTGTCCGCGTGGCGCCTCTACTTGGCGGGGTCCGCCCCGTCTCCCGTCCAAAGCCTGTAGGTTATCTGCCTCCCTCGGAGCTAGAGCTTACAAGGCTGCGGGCCAGGCTGCTTCCGCCTTGCTCGCGATGGCCACCTACCAGCGCTACCAAGCGAATTCACTGGCCAAGCTGCACGAGGGTGGGTCTAACCCAGGCTTGTTACACGAGCTGCGCACCGCAACCGACTATGCTCTTCGGACTATTAAGTCCGCCGCGTGTGCGCTGGGGAGGACGATGTTCACATTAGTGGTCCAGGAACGCCACATCTGGCTAAACCTGGCTGATATGCACAAAGTCGACAAAGTTCACTTTCTTAACTTCCCCATATCCCAGGCTGGCCTGTTCGGCGACACCATCAGTGAGTTCACCCAGGAATTCAAGGCGAAAATAAAACCGCAGCCAGATGCGATGGGCAATGTCATCTATTGGCGGGACCATAAGCCCGCTCCACCCGCCGAGCCATCCACCTCCGCTGCTCCTCGCTGAGGGCACCCGCCAAAGAGTGCTGCCCCGCCCCTGCCTGCGTTGAGCACCTCGGAAGCAAGCAGCCCCCGCTGCCCAAGGCGCCGTTAAGTCCGGTAAACGGACCGTGAAGCGTCCCTGAGACAGGCAATCCGGAGAAGAGGAAATTTGCTCTTTCCCCGCTGGAGGGCAGGGGCCCCTATTCCAACAGTACTTTTCAGTGCCACGAAAATATCAATGAAAGAGCACTTTTTCGCTTCCCCGGATGTGACAGCACGAACCCTGCCAGTCCGGGACGCTCTGCTTCCCAGCTCGCAGGCTCTGTGTGCTTCGCCAGTGGCTCACGAGCGCTGGGGGGACAGTCTCCTTTCCCCCAACCCTCGAGCCACCTCTCCGGAGTTAGGATGCGGAGCCAGAGCGAATCGCTCTCCTCCAGCTCTTCCGCAGGACCCTCGCGCTTCCCGGTTCAGCACACCCACTCTGCGCTGCCCCACCGCTGGTACGTCAGCGATTGTAGCGATGAGTCCATTAGTGAGTGCTCTACCTGCCTGGTTAGCGCGGGCCAGCCCTTCGCGGTGGCTCATACGCTCATCAGACTCGGTTATGCAATCCAGTTCGCGAAACGGCCTCCCAAGTTCACGCCCAGTGTAGTTCACAGCCCCCTGTCCGCCCCTGTCTTGCAAGAGGAGATTGCTGCCCTCCTGGTGAAGGGTGCAATCGAGCCGGTCCCTCCAGCCAAGATGGAGAGGGGGTTTTACAGCCCGTACTTCATCGTACTCAAAAAGAGCGGTGGGTCACGGCCAATCCTACTGTAGATCTGCGAGTTTTGAACCGCTGTCTGCACAAGCTATCATTCAGAATGCTCACACAGAGGCGCATCCTCCAATGAGTTCATCCTCTGGATTGGTTTGCAGCTATAGACCTGAAGGACGTGTACTTCCATGTCTCCATTCTTCCACGCCACCGTCAGTTTCTGCGGTTTGCGTTCGAAGGTCGAGCATGGCAATACAAGGTCCTCCCCTTCGGGCTCTCTCTGTCTCCGCGGGTCTTCACCAAACTTGCAAAGGGTGCCTTAGCATCCCTTCAGCTCCTGGGCATCCGCATACTCAATCATCTCGACGACTGGCTGATTTTAGCCCACTCGCGGGAGCAATCGATTATGCACAGAGACAAGGTGCTCCGGCACCTCCACCTGTTGGGGCTTCAGGTCAACCGAGAAAAGAGACTCTGGAGTCACCCGCGGCTGAAATCGCTATGCACCATTCATGTTCCAGGCATGCTCAACCGTGCAGCCGATGTGCTCTCACAGCAGCAGGTATGCTTCGGAGAATAGAGACTCCACCCCGAGTCTATTCCGCTGATATGGGCGCGATTCGGGGAGGCCCAGATCGATCTGTTTGCTTCCCCCGAGAACGCTCATTGCCAGTTGTTCTTTTCCCTGAGCGAGGGCTCTCTCGGCACGGATGCACTGGCCCACAGCTGGCCTCGGGGCATGCGCAAATATGCGTTTCATCCAGTGAGCCGGCTCACGCAGTTACTGTGCAAGGTCAGGGAGGACGAGGAACAGGTTCTGCTAGTTGTGCCCCTCTGGCCCAACTGGACCTCTCCCTCCTCGCGACGGTCCTCCCCTGGCGGATCCCCTTGAGAAAGGACCTACTCTCTCAGGGACAGGGCACCATCTAGCGCCCTCGCCCCGATCTTTGGAACCTCCACGTGTGGTCCTTAGATGCGAGAAAGACTTAGGTAACCTACAGAGTGCAGTGGTTAATACCATCACTCAGGCTAGAGCCCCCTCCACGAGATGCGCCTACGCCCTGAAGTGTAGTCTATTCACTGAAGGGTGCGTCTTTTGCAGAGAAGACCCCCGAAATTGCCAGATCAGTGTTGTGCTCTCTTTCCTTCAAGAGAAGTTGGAGAGCAGACTGTCGCCCTCCACTCGCAAGGTTTACGTGGCTGCCATCTCCGCTTATCATGACGCGGTAGCTGGCAGCACCGTGGGAAAGCATAACCTCATCATCCGGTTCCTCAGAGGTGATTAATCCACCCCGTCCCCCTCTCATACCCTCTTGGGATCTCGCCCTCGTTCACAAAACGTGACAACTTTCCTTACTCTGCAGAGGAGTCGGGGCATCTGGGGAATGCCCATCCCTCTCTGCGTAGCCACATTAACAGTGTGAGCAAAGCATCGTATATGCGGTGAAAATCCAGCCGCTTTGACAGCATTGGCAATGTTTCTGCCGTTGTCTGTTGTCAAGCGGGGTTAAGTTGGTTTTGTTTTTGATATTCCTGACACATTCAGACGGTCCATTACTAAGAGCTCTGTGCGAGCTCTCCCGGCTAAACGCATATTGCAACGGCTTAAACGAAGCAGTGCTCGTAATGTCAAGCGAAAAAAAAGTGTTTCCTCATGTTCTTCTACAACTAGCTCAACTTTTGCAGGCACGCGTGACGTTATTGGAAAGGTAGTCACGGGGTGTGTCGCGATGTGTGTGATAAGGGTGTCACCTTATCACACGCGACACAGGATCGTAGATCTGAGTGTCACGATTTCGATTTCATATCGTGTATCGTTACAGCCCTAGGGCCGGGGAAAGCTGAACTGGCACACTAGGCAAACAGCAATCACGCCGCCTTCAAGCCGAAAATGAAAAAGAAAGTGACATTTTTGCTGATGAAAGCGAGGACCGTGCGGGAGAGTGTCGATGTAGCTGATGAAAGTGGAGACGAGGGGTTCGCTCACTATTCTGCTGCCCAAGGCACCCGCCTAGGTTGCCTCTATGCATGTCCCTAAACACACGTCGGACACTACGGGAAATTAAAAAAACTGTAACTGCGTTATTTACATTATTATTTTTTTTACACGTTAAATATTTAAAATTAATCACATGCGTTAACAAGCTAATTTTAGCAGCTCTAATATATAGTAGGCGAAGCATTGGTGAAGTAGTTTGCTGGGTCGCTGGTTCGCGCCTCGGCTCAGTTGGCGTTTATGTGAGGAGTTTACATGTTCTCCCTGCATTCTTGTGGGTTTCCTCCGGGTGCTCCGGTTTGCCCCACAGTCCAAAGACATGCGGTACAGGTGAATTGGGTAGGCTAAATTGTCCATAGTGTGTGTGTGAATATGTGTGTGGATGTTTTCCAGATTTGAGTTGCGGCTGGAAGGGCATGTTGTATAAAAACTTGCTGGATAAGTTGGTGGTTCATTCCGCTGTGGTGACCCCAGATTATTAATGGGACTAAGCCGACAAGAAAATGAATGAATATATATATATGTATGTATATATATATATATATATATATATATATATATATATAATTTTTTTTTTTTTTTTTTTTTTTAAGGGGGGCTAATAATTCTGACTTCAACTGTATATCAAATAGACAATTTTCCCAAAATAAACAATTTTCTCACCATTTACTCAAACTCTTGTGGTTCTTCTAAACTTTTACAATTTTTTTTCTAACACTGAAGACAAAACAAGATATTCTAAAGAATGTTGGAAACCATCACCCTTTGACATCCATATTAGGAACAAAAAATATTAATGACTATCAAAGTCAGTTGCAGCTGCTTTTCAATATTCATCTATTGTGTTTAATTTTCTTTTTAACAATCTCTTTAAACATGTATTAAATCTTCCATATGTAAATCATTTTTCATATGTACAGTAGAACCAAATGCAGTTGTGGATTCCCACACCAGAAAAATGCAACCTGGACTTCCAATGAATTTTCTTTCAGTATGAAGTATAACATCACAGCTCACGTGATTGGAAAGAGGGAAAATCTAAGCTGCATCTACAAAAATTTCAGTGGAATACCATCACAGATGAGTGTGTTATTGTTAACTTTTTTTGATGTATTCATGTTTTAACTATTTAAAAAATATAGTGATTTCTGTAAAATATGCAAATATGTCAAAATACTTTGGAATTGCTAGGAATCCTAATATTATTCAAAGCTGCTTGCAAAATCTGTAACCAGAAAAAAAATGAAGAATCTATTTAATGTGTTTTTTCTTTTATTACAGCACAATGTGGTCCTCATTCAAATGTCACTTTTAAAAGACGGTCAGGCCACATAACTCTTATGGTTAATTGGGGAGATGAAAGCAATTACATTGAAAACTTCCATGTAAAGTACAGAGAATTCAACTCTACAAATTGGAAGAAGGTCAGTAAAGTCCAGCAGTTTCAGAGAATCTCTAAATTCATTTGTCTCAGTCTTTATGTCCACCAATAATTATGATTGATACCTATGCAATCGAATCATACCAACAGTATTTTAGCTAACACACACTAAATGGTATAAGTATGTCAGATATTTAAAAAACACAGACTTTTTTGTTCCAAATTCTGCTTAAGATCTTGCAATAACGTTTAATTGAGGATTAGTGTAGGTGAGTGCAGGCTTGAGAAAGCCTTGTATACTATGGTGTGTTGTGGGTTTGTGGTTAATGGCTAGGGGTCTCCTTTATACAGTAGATGTTTGTATGTTTGTACAGTAGATGTTTGTAATTTAAATCCATAAGTACAGTATGGGGGCGACTCGGTGGTTAGCATTTTCGCTTGAAAGCAAGAAGGTCGCTAGTTTGAGTCCAGGTTGGGCCAGTTGGCATTTCTGTGTGGAGTTTGCATGTTCTCCCCAGGTTTGCTCCGGTTTCCCTCACCAGTCCAAAGACATATGGCAAGTAAATTGAATAAATAAATTGGCTGTAGTGTGTGTTTACATGTGAGAGTGTATGGGTTTTTCCTAGTACTGGGTGGCAGCTGAATGGGCATCCGCTGTGTAAAGCATATGATGGATAAGCTGGTGGTACATTCTGCTGTGGCAACCCCTAATGAATAAAAAGACTAAACCAAATGAATGAAGTACATTATGTGCCTTGACATACCTTACAATATAAGCAGCTTAGAACTTTTTAGTTAGTTACAGAAAGACCTGAAGTAGCACTTTATATTAAAGTTTACAATATACATTATAAGTAAACAATCAAAGTAAAGAAACAAAGTATTTCAATCTTCGTAAAATCAGCTACAGCTTATCTATCAAGGCAACACAGTACAGTTGAAGTCAGAATAATAAAGCCCCCTTTGATTTTTTTTGTTTTTCTTTTTAAATATTTACATTTAGTCATTTAGCAGACGCTTTTTTTCCAAAGAGACTTACAAATGAGGACAAGGAAGCAATTTACACAACTATAAGAGCAACAATGAATAAGTGCTGTAGGCAAGTTTCAGGAATGTAAAGTGTAAGGTAAAGTGTATGTATCAGGTAATGTAAAGTATATTTTCCACACGATGGTTAAAAGAGCAAGGAAATTTTCATGGTATGTCTGATAATATATATTTTTTTTCTTCTGGAGAAAGTCTGATTTGTTTTATTTCAATTAGAATAAAGGAAGTTTTTAAAATTTTTTAAAGTCCAAAATAATTAGCCCTTTTAAGCTATATTTCTTCGATTGTCTCCAGAACAAACCACCATTATACAATAAATTGCCCAACTACCTTTACCTGCCTACTTAACCTAATTAACTAAGTTAAGCCTTAAAATGTCACTTTATGCTGTATAGAATTGTCTTAAAAATATCTTGTAAAATATTATTTACTGTCATCATGGTTATTAGAATTGAGTTATGCTGAGAAATGTGTTGAAAAAACCTCTTTGTCAAACAGGAATTGGGGAAAAATAAACCGGGTCTAATAATTCTGGCATCAACTGTATATAGGACATACAATGGGCCCTATCATTTTCACTGGTCTAAAAATAGCAACAGATTTCACAAAACATGCCTTGCACCTTATTGTGGCGGGTGCACAATAAGGCACAAGGCGTGTTTTGTGAGATCTGTTGCTTTTTTTAGACCAGTGAAACCCTAATTTGATGCAGCACCATTTACCAACTAAAAGCTGGTCTAAAGTGTAGCATTCAAATGCTTACAAACGCTTATGTGGGGTGTGTACAACACTGTTTCCTTATCTACGAAAGTAAAGGAGTAAAGAATAGAAGTAAAGTAAAGAAAAAGTAAAGAGGCCAAATGGAGGAGGCTTGTTCTTTATCCTCTCACTGCAGATGGTCTGTTTAACTGTTTTCTCGCTAATGAAGCATTCTGTTTTTCCATTCAGTTTTTCCTCGTGCAAAGTCCGCCATGTAAATAACAAATGCACCATGGCGCGATACAACTGAGTCTTAAAAAGAATAAGAGATGAGACTGTGATTTGTTTTATGTATGTTTTTTTTCTCTAAACACACCTACAACTCATTGAGAATATCCACAACCCTGTTAGTCTATGCGCCCTGATGCAAACCGTACTTTTCTATCCTTAAAAAAGCAAAAGTGGATTCGGACATGCCCTTAATGCTTTTGTGCCATGTGCTTTAGACTTTGACCCTAGATCAGGGGTCACCAATTACAGTCCTGGAGGGCCGGTGTCCCTTCAGGGTTTAGCTCCAACTTGCCTCAACACACCTGCCAGGGTGTTTCAAGTATACCTAGTAAGACCTTGATTAGCTTGATCAGGTGCATTTGATTAGGGTTGGAGCTAAAATCTGCAGGACACTGGCCCTCCAGGAACAAGTTTGGTGACCCCTGTCCTAGATCGTTAAATGGAGTAAGTGTAACATCAGCAGATTTTATTTCTTCAGATAAAAATGGATTTTAGGCAAATTATTAAACTATTAGAGTATTTATCAATTTAGACGTTTTTTAAATGGAAAAGAATCAAACACTACAGTAATCGTCGTTAGCGCGGTTCAAATAATTAATAGCTTTTTAAATCAAAGCAACAGGGGTTTGGGAAAAAAAAAAAAAAAAACTTTTTGAGAATTTTTTAAAAGCTACTGTATAAACCATTGATAAATTCATGAAAGGGATGAGTTCACTTGCTGTGAAATTCACCTCCTACTAGCCGGTAATAAGGGTCTTAGTCAAATGATCAGTTAGAAAATTATATTTTTTGACCACAAAAGATTATCATGCTTTGTGTTGTAAACTCCTGTGGTTAAATGAACTAATAATATATTGATTTATTCATTAATAAATGTAAACAGTCTACAAAGTTTGGTAATAAATAAATTATTAAATATACTGTCTCGCAAAGAAAGTCTGCTCTGAATCACCTTATCGATACTTTTAAAACATTTTTGCCTGCTTACAATCTATGACTAAACAAAGTAAGACATTTGCATAATTCCCACCTGCCCATGGCATACAAAATATAACACCTTCTAGTACAGGAGCCAATCAGTTATTGCTTTAGACTGTCAAATCTCCAGATAAGGGGCTTGGACCAGCCTTGAGTTTCTACAGATTTTGTTGTGATTTAAATGTTTCGAAATTAAACTAAAGACACAGTTGTTGTTTAATTGTATTGGTGATTCCTAATATGCAATGTAATCTTAAGCTTGGCAAACAAGTTTGGAGAATTTTATGTTTCCATTTAGACAGAATGCCTGAGCACACTGCCTGAGAGCCTGCGTTTCAAAGATGGTCACTGAGTGTAATGACTTGCCTTAAAGGGACTTTGATATACTGATACAGTTTAGTGACAGTTCAGTTTTAGTTTCAAATGCGAACAATAACATTTTAGCATGTCTTATGACTCAGGTCTTGATTGGACTCCCAAAAGACTCTACACCACAGACCTTACAGATAATAGCATGCAGTGTAATTATTACTTAGTCTCTCACTGGAATCACATGTAAGTTACTGTGTGTATTTTGTGCATAGAAAATATTTATACATATTAGTAGCACAGCTCAACTGTGGTTTTTACAGTGCTCTGTGGCATTTGATGGTGTGGTGAAACACACTAGAAGTAATGACAGTGCAAGTCAGCTGTTAACATGGAAAGCTTTGGTATAGAACAGAGTTGTGGTGTGGTGAGCCACCACAGTGTGAAATAAGAAGGGTTAACTACAGTTAAAAACCCTCCTTCCCATAAGCTTCTATCTATCTATCTATCTATCTATCTATCTATCTATCTATCTATCTATCTATCTATCTATCTATCTATCTATCTATCTATCTATCTATCTATCTATCTATCTATCTATCTATCTATCTATCTATCTATATCATCTATCTATCTATCTATCTATCTATCTATCTATCTATCTATCTATCTATCTATCTATCTATCATCTATCTACCTACCTACCTACCTACCTACCTACCCACCCACCCATCCATCCATCCATCCATCCATCCATCCATCCATCCATCCATCCATCCATCCATCCATCCATCCATCCATCCATCCATCCATCCATCTATCTATCTATCTATCTATCTGTCTGTCTATCAATCTTTCTGTCTATCTGTCTGTCTATCTATCAATGACAAAGTGAACAGAACAGGGGCATAGAAAGTAGGAACGTGACATAGTTCTTTTTAACAGTGTATTTGCAGTCTATTTCTATGTGCTTGTGATAAAAACAGGGCCATATTTAACCTATGAAATTGACTTCCTTGTGCTTGCAGAAACTGTCTAAAAATAACAGAGATTTCGTATTGTGGAACACGACATCTTCTCTGTCATATGAGTTGCAAATACAGTGCATTCCCTCTGCAAACTGTGCAGAGTGTTTACCCAGTGAGTTCATGATGGTCCCACCGGGTAAGTCGAGGATAGGGGTTACAAAAATACAAGTTTATGTGTTTTTACTTTCAGTTTTCTGTCTTTAACTGTGTGTGTGATTTTTGTCACGAAACAGAACAAGTTACAAACAAACTTGACCGTCTAAACAAATCTGAATTGGTTGAGCTCATGTTATTTTCAGCTGCCCTGCTCAAACAAACAGTTCAATTTTTGATTTTGGTGGCAGAGCAATTGTACACTTTACCTTTCTCTTAATTGACAATTAAATTGATTGTTTTTCTCTAGAACTCACAGATGTACCATCGATCCAGTGGGAGATTCAAGACCATATTGGAGATGACCATAAGGCCAAGACTGTAGCTGGACAGAGAAGAGTGGTTGTCATGTGGGAGGTACTAAAACATCTAACTTCCCAATTTAATGTAATTATTATGTTCATTCGTTCATTCATATAACATTATATATGGTTTAAGAACCATTGTGGAGGATAGTAGCATCTGTGTGCAAGTCCAATATAAACTAAGGATAGCTGATAATGTGCTGCATCTTCTTTTGTTTAAAAGTAACTGTGTAGTTACAAATACAGTGAAAATCTGTTTGCTAGTTATACATACATGAACACATTAGTGCATTGAATGACTTTATGCTTTTGTAAGCTAAACTGGGTTTTTGTGAACTAAGCATTGTATCAGTTGATATAATATGGTTATTTTCTGTAAATTTAAACAGTCCTATAAACTTCTGTATTTTTACAGAAAATTCCTGGCAACCACTGCCGGTATTTTTCAGTAAATTTAACAGATTTTTTTTAGCAATGTAAATAAATTAGAGCTAAATTATTCATATTGTGTTGATTGAACTAAACAACATTACCTTACCTTTATTTAACTAACTTAAGTTCACTCAAATAAATATTCTTTCTTCAAGGTAACTTAACTCGGTTACGAAGAACCTGTTGACATAAAAAGTTAATTAAAGCCAACATATCATTTTTTTGAGTGTGTTATACACTGCCCGTCACCATCTAGATTTAACCTACAGATTTTTCAATCACTTTGGTGCATTTCTCATGACACTATTTACGTTTGCACACCAGTTAATGCACTTCTTAAAACAATAATTCATTTGTGCACATCGTAGTAGCAGTTTTTCATTTCTTACAACAAATTGCAAATGTGTACAAAAATCTTGTACTCAGATACCTCACTAAATGCAGTGATGTCTAACATTACTGTAGATTTCAAATGGCTGGGCAAATAGTATATAATGCTGTCTTGAACAGCACTTCAGGAAGTGTTACCAAAATCTCACTTTTTTGCATTGGAAAAAAATTACAAAGTATACTGCCATGATGAAAACATGACAAAGCCATTTGACTATCTTGTTCATAAACAATGGTGTCTGGACTTTTCATCTTAATGACACTGACACTTTCATTGACATGAATACTTGCTTTTAAAAAATCTATTTTAAGCAAGTTACATGCTTTTGCAGGTCATCAACTAGGTTTTGCAGTTATTACTAATTGTTTTGAGAAATGCATTAACTGTTGTGCAAATATAAATAGTGTTGTGAGAAATGCACCAAAGCCACTGAGAAGAAACTGTAATTAAGGCAATATGTAAGAGCGTTCCAACAGATAAATACTACATGGATTATCCAGTTTGAGCGGATAAGAAGTTAACCCTAACGAATGCAACAAGTGGTTCCTCATTACTTAAACATCTATGTCAGGTGTTACAGTTTTTCTTGTTTGCTTTGACCTGGTTAAAGAAACTAGGTTCCACTTCATTTTCATTTTCACTATCCCAGCAGAGCAAAAGACCGGTCTTGCAAATGTGTAAACTCTTTCTCATTGGACACATTTCCCCACCATTTTTCAAAACAGTTAACACAGATGTCATTCAAGCAGTCCAAACTCCATTGTTTTAGTTATGGTAACCAAACAGAAACCATCTATTCCTAACCATTAGAAACTACCAACATCAATATGAATTCAGTGAAGCACCGGATTGACACTCCTTCACACAAATCCTCAATAAGCAATCAGTCTGCAAAGCTTATAAAACGGTGGAAGGTCTGTGTTGTTCTGTGCAAGCATTGATGGAGGAGGTCAATAGTGGCTATGTCTTATACTCCCAATAGATTTGACTGTATATTGGTTAATATTAATTAATATTTACAGTATTTTATTACTTTTGTCTGTTTTTACAGTATTTCAGTTTTCAGACACAGTTTGAAAATTGTCATGAATTCAATATAAATGTAATCAAAGCATTTCTTATTCTGTATGCAATTCATTGCAAAAAGGCAAATTTGACAGCACAAATAGAAAGACAACAAACGGCATTGGCAATAGGCTACAATGACAAGCAATGGTGGTGCACTGAGTTCTGTATTTTGTATTTTGTTGTCCGTTGTGTAATGATTAATTGAAAGAGTTCATATACTTGTTTGCAAGTTGTGTTGTTTGAGTGCCTCTGTTTAGGCCTGTGTGTTAACTGTTTTGAAAATGTGGAGTTTCAGTTGACAACTACATCCAAGCAATCGAGAAAAACTGTAATCTGTTCCTAAAGGGTCATTTTATCCGCTTGTTAAGTGGTGACGTGTTTGTGACGTATGTAATACTGTTTCCAGGTCCAATCCGCCATTCATTTGAGTGGAGAAATCATTAGTTTATGATCACGTTTTATTCCTATCACACATTAAAGTTAATTTTATATAAAGTCATAGTGTACACAACAATCTCTGGGCTTGCTGCATCACAAATACCAAAATTTTAACAATTTCTAAAAAAATTAATCACTTTCTGGCCATCGGATATTAGGCATGGACATATATATTGCGATCGTGATTTTCGAAAGTATTAAATCGCTTTAAAAATGTTTATTATTACCATTTCATGAGTACCATTTCATGAGTATACAGTTGAATAGAGCGCTTGGACCCGGAAGCCGCTTCGCGTGACGTCACTCTTAACAAGCAGATTGTCCTTCCTCAAGCAATGAAAACATTTAAGGAGATTGCTGAATCTGCTAAAATTGAGTTAAGATCCTATTGTGGGCAACCATCATCTTTGTGAAGGAATTGTGGTTAGAAAAAAATGTGAATGTTTGAGATTGGCAATCACTAAAAAACCTAAGGAAATCAAATCATAAAAATACAGTAAAACTCATGGCTATGTTTAATGGGGAAAGTAAGACCATTTTTATATACACAATGAGAAGGACAACGGGATTGGGAAAAAACAGTTGTGTAGGGTAAGAAGATTATTTATCAGCGCATTTCTTCAGTGTGTATTGTGACCAATTTGTAGTACGTTACTTCAGTTGTTTGTGTATTGACCAATTTGCAGCTCGTTTCTTCAGTTGTTTGTGTTGTGACAGATTTGCAACAGGGGTTGTTAAAGATCGTTTCTTAATTTACTGGTGGTTTTTGTAATTGCATGTGCTTTCTTAAATTGCAACGAGTTAAGCTCTCTCGGCCACTGTAAGTTCAATCAAAGGGTGTCAAACTTTCATACTGCACCTAAGAACTTCAAAACAAGATCATGATTCAAAACTATGGCAACTCTGAAATGTAATGAATGTTTTGACTTTTGCAGATAAATACTGAAACGATGCCATGGTGAATCCATGCTTTAATCAAAGCTAAAGGCAGTCCAACAAAACATGTTTTCCTGGTAGATAATTTTACCCCATATGATCCAGGCATTAGTTAATTGCATAAATCACAATACAATGTGTGTACAAGGTGGTCTGCCAGTCATATTTTCAAAATATTTGTATTCTACTTTTAATTTATTTATGTAAGAAATATCTATATAATATATATTAAAAGGCCACAAAGGTGTTGATGCAGGCTATTAGTGTCTGAGCAGTCAATCTTTATTTGCAAACCTAAATAAAACAAAATCCAGGAATACAAGCTCACAGAAAGGACTAATAGAATTTAACCATATACAGTACAAGAACAGAAAAATCGCAACTAACACAAAAGTGTTTAACTGCTAAATGTGGAAATGTGGGAACTAAATGAGACACAGTGGAACAGACTGTCTTAAAAATAACAGCAGTTAATAATGGCAGTTAAACACCTTTGTTCGTGTGTGTGAATCTATTTCTACTACTCTTATAAAAGTGTTATCCTTATTCTCTTAATAAATTATTATTGTGTTTTGAGTAAAACATGCATTAAATCAATCAGAGTCTCATCTCTCATTCTCTTTAAGTGTCAGTTGCGTCTTACCATGGTGCATTTCATTTGCTATTTACACGGTGGACTTTGTAAGTGGAAAAACTAAACGCTTCACTATTGAGAAAACAGTAAAAGACCATCTATGGAACAAGCATCTTTATTTTGGCCTCTTACTTTTGACTGTGGATTAAGGAAATGCACTACACAGATGACATCCATTACATTAGCATATTTAATTTGGTAAATTTGTTTGTTAACCACAAAGATTTGTTAAAAACTATTTCTAAATTCAGTTCTAATTTCCAGCAAACTAATAAATGAACAATAATAACGAAGTGTGGTAAAAAGTTATATTCAAACAAGTTTCCATTTCTATGCCTCATTTGGTGATTCAGTATACATTTCCAAAACCCTAATGGTGGACACATCTAGACCATGAGTCCACAAAGTGGCATAAAAGCATTTGTTATTGAAAATAATAGCTGCGTTCGTCTGAAAATAGCAAAAGAACACTTGTGCCACGCATGGCCTCGTATTGAAAAGAGTGTATGATCCCATTATAAAAGTATGAGGTCCCATTATCAAAGTAGTAGGAAGCAAAGTTAGGTTGAAAGACATTTAGGCAAAACAAGAATGCTGCATCCCACTCTTATGATTCTTTCAGGAGTGATCATGTGTGGAGAAGCAGTGCTGTCTCAACTTATAAGATACATTTTAAAGTTCTGTTATAATGCTGCTTTGTGCCGTCTATTACAGTGCAAAATATATTGAAGCATCTTAGGTGTTTTCATGATTTCTATTAATCCAAACCAGAAATTGAGGGTGTGTGAGATTAGAATACCTAGTATTTCATTATTGGGTAATGCACAAACCTACATATTTATTTTGATTCTAAAATAATTCTTACAATAATATTTTTTATTCCCTTCTAAAGTATTTGGTTCATTTTTGATTTGTATCTTATTTTATGTAGTTTTATTGTTGTTGTCTTATTATTAGAGAAAATAAAAATAGTTTAAAGAATATAATATATATATATATATATATATATATATATATATATATATATATATATATATATATATATATATAGTTCCTTTAGTTTTTGTAGTTTTGTAAAAAGCATTTACTAACTCTCATAACTAGCTACTTTGTCCAATCTTCAAGTATTAAACATTGTTACTATTTATAAAAATGAGATCTTCTGATATATTCTGCAATAGCAATGTTTCTGGGAGGTATGTAAAAACTGAATAATGGCCTACTGCATGCATTGAGTACTATCACTTGCTTTATTATTTGTGCATAAAAATGTCCTGTTCTAACTTCTAATTAAAATTCCCATATAACAATCTACAAATCAGGGTGTTGTGTCAAAAGTGGTCAATCTTTGTTTCAGTATCCGATCAGTGAGGCTGTGGCTTACTACAATGTGACAGTGAGGAAAGAATCGGGGGAAACCAGCAGTCAAACCAGCAGTTACAAAGTTAAAAATTCATCTCTTATCCTGATCCTGTCTTATTCTGCATATAACATCAGCATCAGGGCCTTTAACAATGCTGGATCATCTCCTGTTTCCAGTATAATCATTGAACGAATGGATGAGTGGCAAGGTACATTGCTTTCATATTGTGTAACATGAACTCTAAAAAGCATCAACATCTTATACAATACAATACAGTAAACATACATTTAACGAAGATGTTCATACAGTGAATTACTTTGATTTATTTAGATTTGTTTGGGCCATTCAGTGTCAACATTACGAGTAACAACAGTTTCAGCCTGTCTTGGAACAGCTCCATCTCAAGTGTGTGTTACTCTGTGGAGTGGTGGGCCAAAGGACAGATACCTGCTTTCCAGCCATTCTACGTTAAGAGGAACCACAAAGAAATAACTGGCATAACCAAGAACAGTACTATGCCCTTATTTTTTTCCTTATTAAGCTGGCTAAAATAGATCAATATACCAAAACGAAAAATTCATATATACCATGATTGTGGTCTAAACATATTTAAAAAGTTGTCGGCCTATTTAATATTCTTGTTTCATATATATTGGTAAAAATGACTTATTGTTTATACTCTGATCACTTTTTCATTTTTTTATTCTCTGATTATTATCTAGCTGTTTTGAACGTTGTCGCTCGATTGAATAGGCATTATCAGTGGTAATCAGCCGATAAATAAGGGCCAGTAAGGGCCTTCTGTGTCTAATGGTTGGCTCAGAGCATGGTTAATGAGCTAGATCACATACGGCTGTGGTCTGAAGTTTATGAGAATTATTTATATTATTTATAAAATTTTTGATTAAATGTATTTTATTTATGTCTACCCCTACCATAACCCTAATCCTAACCGTCACAGTAATGTAAAAACAGATCTGGAGTCTTTTCAATTTGGATAGCAGATTAACCACATGGATGGATGATAACAGCCTTCTGAGGCTACAAAAATATAGCATCATCTGATTTATTTATTCACATAGTGTTTTGAATTGCAGCAATGTTCCATGTTTAACCCTTTTTTTTTTTTTAAGCAGCTTTTCAGCCCAATACAAGATATTATTTCTTCCTGCACACCAGACCAGACCAAGACACCTGCAACATGAAAAATGTGAACAAAAGTGAGACAACCTATGGCAAAACCCAAGCTTATCTCTCTGAAGGAAGTGAGTCTAACTATTCATACTTATATTTGCTCTACTTATGCTGAAATATGCTGAAAAAAACACAGCAAATTAATTTCCTGGCTGGAAAAAATATGTATGCAATGCATTATATTTAAATTACAGTGTAATTACTGATTTACTGCTTGTTTACCTGATTAACTTTTAGACAACAACAACAACAAATAATAATAATAATAATAATAATATTAAAAAATAAAAATAATAATTATAATAATAATAATAATAATATCTGGTTGCAGTCAAGCTAGCATGTGTATAGATAATGTACTGTATTTATTATCAGAACATGTACAGTATTTAAAGTCAAACAGTATTTCCCCACTGATTTGTGCTTTTTGTGTATAGTTCACTAACTGTAATAGATTAGAATCAAGGACATAGATGTATTTTATGAATGAATTTAAGGTTTTTGGAATTTTAGGTCCTATCCGTGCTCCTGGGAATGTGAGCGTTTTGAATATTACTCAGCATTCAGCAGTAATAACATGGATCCCTTTGTCTGAGGAAGACTTGTATGGATTCTTATCAGGCTACTACTTGTATTACTGGAATACAGAAGACATTAATGAAACATGTGAGTATATAATTTTTCCATTTTTCTTCAGTCAGGCTTAAACCTTTACCTGTTACAGATGCACGTTTAAAGTTATTTATTTATCTTTTTTTTCACTTAAATTGTACACTAAAAAGATTAATTCCAGTTTAATACATCAACAGCATTCAGAATTATTCAAAAATAAAAATAAAATAAAATCTGATGCAAATTACTCATGGTTAATTACTCTAATTACTCACTTCATCAGTATTACTCTGTCACTGATCTTTGCAATATTGTGTGTCTGTGTATTATTAACACTCTTTTTGAAAAAAGTACAAAAACTGTCACTGAGATGGTATTTTTTTAAAGGGTACACGTTTGTTCCTTATACACTTTGAAAATGTACTCATTTCTGTGATGTAAATGGAAAAATGTGGATAAAATGTGAAAAAAAGTATGCGCCCAATTGAGTAGGATAAACTTTTTACCCAACAAGAAAAATATATAAATATAAATAAAAATAATATAAATAAATAAGTTCCAGCATTAACATTTAAAAAGTCCAAAAAGGTGAATTAGTTTTAACAGAGGATGTGATTAAAATGAGTGCGATGGGACAACATGAACAAACTTCCAGACTCACAACATTGTAAATCATCCGAAATGTGGTCATTTTAAAAGGAAAAGCCATCATCAAAGTGGTTCAGTATTATTATTTCCCAACATTGTTTTAGCTGCTGCATTCTCAATGTGTGGCCTCAGTCTCATATTCCAATAAACACTGTGCGTTCATTGCATTTCGTCTTTATCTTCTAAATCGCAAGTCATTTTTTAGGTTTAAAAAAGGCTCAGAGTGGCTTCTCCTTACTTACTTCCAGGGCTGTTTATATTTAGCTGATAAGTTGTTGAAGTTGATATTGATATTTAAGGATGAAAAAAAAACTGTAAGTTTAAACTGGAAAAAAAAAATGACTTTATTAATTTCTAGATACACAAATGAAACTGTATCAAATGAAAAATAAATATTTGCAATTTTATGTAAAATAAAATTATTGTGCGGTTTAAACATCGGTAAGTTAAAGTTGATATTTAGCCGCACCATGTTGTTGTTTCGTAACATCTTATTTTTACAAGGTGGGTTGTTAGCCCATTGCTCAACCTCCAACCTGGAGGACCAGGACATACATACATTACAGACAATTTAGCTTACCAAATTCACCTAAAGCTCATGTCTTTTGATTTGTGGGGCAACCGGAGCACCCAGAGGAAATGCACGCGAACACAGAGAGAACATGCAAACTCCAAACAGAAATGTTAACTGAACCTTTTACAACCCGAACCAGCGACCTTGTTGCTGTGAGGCGATAGTGCTAACCACTGAGCCTCCGTGCTGCTCCAATGGCTTCTCCAACATAGCTTAATCTATGCTTTTTTTTTGGTATTTGGCGTCAACTTTACAAAAAGTGACGATTTTGTTCTCAAGACTCTAATCAGCTTCTTTAGATTGAAACATAGTCAGTGACAGCATGTGTACAGTCATTTGAAAAAAATTAGTTCCATGGTTTTCCATATTACAACATAATAATATAAAAAATCTGGACTATGGTGGGTCTTAATATGTGAAAAATAAAACATTGGATCAGCAACACGTGACATATTGCACTGTGCCATTATTTATTTAACAGAAATAAAGCCAAAATGGAAAAGTCATGAGCGACAAACTTTGGACACCCAAAGTGTTAACATAATAATTGAGAGGGGATGTTGCAGTCTATTAAATGCCTTTAAGTAACTGATCATCAGTAAGTGTAAGTTTCTAAGAAAGCTAGAGGTTTGTCTATTTATTTGAGTCATTAGGTGTGTCTTAGCACAACATCAGCAATGAGATTGGAGAAGAGACTGTTGCTTTCATTCATCTGGGATGGATAATAGGTTACATTCTTTCCAAATTAAGGAGGTTTACTCACAAAAGGAAGACATTTCTATGAGACAGCAATAAATCCTAAACATAATCCCCAGGAGTTGACATCCAAGCAAATTCAACCCAAGATCAAGAAATAGCAGACAAGTTAACATGTTAATTTAGTAAGAACAGCTATAGCTGTTTTAAAAAAAAAGTAGTAGTATGGTTTAGGTTTGCAAAGATGCATCTAAACAAACAGAAATGTTTTAGAGTATGTACTTTGAACAGACAAGACCAAAGTTGAGATGTTTTGCTTTATAGCACAGTGCTACATTTGTTAAAAGGAAAAAAAAAAGCAAAAACTGAACCACAGACATCTCATACCAAAGGTCAAGGATGCTTCTGGAGGGGTGATAATGTTGGGCTTGTTTTGTAGCCACAGAAGCTGCACACTACACAGTCATTGAGTTGACAAGAACTTTTTCATTTTCCAAGGTATTTTAGAGCCAAAATATATTAGAAACCTAAGATTTTGAGGCCATACGTCTGAAGCTAAAGCTTTGCCAAAGTTAGGTCATACAATGTGACAGTAATCTTAGTAACACCAGCAAATCTACAATAGAAGAGCTGCAAACCAAAAGAATAAAGCTGTTGCAATAGTTCAATCAAAGTCCACAGCTTGTCCTGACAGAAATTGGGAGTTTATAGGCAATCAAATCATAGAGTGTCCTAAATTTTAAAGTTTTGGGAAGAAAGCGATGTTTCTTGTGGGGAATGTCCATGGTTGCTCCCTTAAAGCCTTTGACTGATCATTAAACATTCTTAATCTGCATCTAAAGGCAGAACAATGTAATATGAACTGCCAATCAATACAAACATGCACTATTTTACAATACAAAGTACATTTTCTGCATGCCATTTAAATTAAATAAAATTTTCTGGGGAATAACATTCACAATCAACAATATAAACATGCTATGTAAATCAGTCAAAAGAACAATGGCTGAGTTTTCTGATATAAATTTTTTTTTTTTTTAAACTAACAGTGCAGTCAAATCTGTTTGACTCACAACAAATATTGCCTTAAGATATACTCAAAATGAATTAAACTGCATGTTTAACCATTCATGTTCCAGAGTAAATGTATAGGTCAAAAAACTGCTTTTGGTGGGAACATGAGCAATGAAAATGCATGAAAAATGTCTTGCTTAAAAATAGTTTCAAAAATACATTTACTGTATGTAATCTAACAGCTACAGAACTTGTCAAACTACAGTGAGTTACTGGCACTCAAACTGTGGATGGAGTAAAACACGTAATGAGGCTGGGACTGAGCTGTTATCACTAGAATATTTCATGGCTCAGCCAAACAGATTAAAGAACCAAAAAGAACTTTTGAGTATATATATATATATATATATATATATCAAATGGTATATAGCTTATTAGAAGTTTATAAGATACTACAGCTAGTAACGATGTATTCCATTTTAGTCAGGCGTTCATTTTGAATGAAATATGACAATCAATAGTTGAACTATAAAATGGTAGATTAATCTATAAAGAACTTTACATAGGGCGAGGCAGTGGCGCAGTAGGTAGTGCTGTCGCCTCACAGAAAGAAGGTCGCTGGGTTGCTGGTTTGATCCTCAGCTCAGTTGGTGTTTCTGTGTGGAGTTTGCATGTTCTCCCTGCGTTCGTGTGGGTTTCCTCCGGTTGCTCTGGTTTCCCTCACAGTCCAAAGACATGTGGTACAGGTGAATTGGGTAAGCTAAATTGTCCGTAGTGTATGAGTGTGTGTCTGAATGTGTGTCTGAATGTGAGTGTAGATGTTTCCCAGAGATGGGTTGCGGCTGGAAGGGCATCCGCTGCATAAAAATGTGCTGGATAAGTTGGCGGTTCATTCTGCTGTGGCGACCCCGGATTAATAAAGGGACTAAGACGACAAGAAAATGAATGAACTTTTACATAATTATACATATTTTGTCTTTAATTAAATGGCAAACATTTTATAAACTTTCATTAAATACGTTATCTATTTATTTGTTATTGTCTAACATTTCTGAAACCATTAAATGGCATTTGCTATTATTATGTTATGAATGTGTTATGTTTAATGACAACTGGAACACAAAAACACAAAAGTATGATTTTATTATTATAAATTCTGGGTGAACAAAAAAAAAAAAAAATCATGTTTCTATGCAGTTTTTAGTAATCAATGACACATGGAATGGAATTTTTTACCTTTTTGTTTTTTCCATTTTAAACTTTTACAGCCATCAAAGTGGATCCCAGCATAAACAGTTATGAGCTGCTGAATCTGCAAAGCAGCAGTGCATATAGTGTGCAGCTGTGTGCATTTACAGTGGCAGGAGAAGGAGAACGCAGTGATGTTAAGCACTTCGTCACGGATCAGCCTGGTAAACTTATGAAAAATTAATACATCATCATTTAGCTATTTGCCTTACAGTTCAGTACAGGGTTGAAGTCTGAACTATTAGCCACCCTTTTGCATTTTTTTCTTAAGTATTTTCCAAATAATGCTTAACAAAGCAATGACATTTTTCACAGTATGTCAGACAATATTGTTTCTTCTGGAGAAAGTCTTATTTGTTTTATTTTGGCTAGAATAAAAGCAGTTTTTAATGTTTAGGTCAGAATTATTAGCCTCCTAAGCTATATTTTGTTTCGATAGTCTACAAAACAAACCATTGTTATACAATAACTTGCCTAATTATCCTATGCTGCCTAGTTAACCGAATTCAGCCTGTAAATGTCACTTTAAGCTGTATGGAAGTGTCTTAAAAAAATGTCTATTAAGTTATCATGATCATGGCAAAGATAAAATAAATCAATTATTAAAAATGACTTATTAAATCTATCATGTTTTGATATGAAAATTTTCTTTCCATTAATCAGAAACGGGGGGGTTAATAATTCTAACAACAACTGTACATACTGTAGTAAATACAAGTGTGAGAGAATGTGGCTGTATCAGGAGATATAGTTTTCTAGCTGCATAGATTGAAAGAGTTAAATATGTATTGACTACATGCTTCCTTCCAGCAGAGTTCACAGCTTTGAATGGCATTATAGCTGCGATCCTTGTGGGAATAATAATTCTTCTAATAGCAGTTCATGTCAGCTGTCGGATTTTGCACCGGTATGGACATGCATTCAACCTTTTCAAATTATACAACAATATCAATCACTTCAGCAGAAGTTATTATTAATGTGATTTTTTTTTACAGAGCCAAGAAACTGCTCTGGCCTAGTATACCAGATCCAGAGAAGAGCAATGCTGTTCAAAAAATTGTAATCACCTATGAACTGGTAAGCACAGAGCAATGCAATGACAAAGTAATACTTTCCGATATTTTATTGTCATAAAACACTATTTGCAAAAAGTGGCTTTGATCAAATACATGTAATTGTGTATGTATATCTACAAATATTTGGAACACTTTATAACTACACACTATGAATCATTTATTAAGCATTAGCAAATAGTTATTATGTGTTAAGTATTAGCTCTACGTTAATAGACGTCAGTAAACGTCTATTATAAAAAATGAATATAATAATATAAAAAGTATAATGTAATTTATAACTAATAAAAAAATTATAATGTGTTTAATAATTGTATTCTCATACTTTGTTAATGATTATTTTTTCAGTACCTAATTAAGTATTGCATTATTTACAAACTAGTTATTTAAGAAGAGTTAGTGCTATTTTAGGATCATTCAGAATGCATAAATAAATTATTAATAACCTATTCAAATAAACATTTGTATATCTTATTATTCAGGCACATAGTAATAGTTCATTTTTATGTTAATAAATGCTTTATTAAGTCAATTTCATCCAGCCTTGTGACCTAAAGTAAGGACTTTGTATGCTTTATATATCAAAAAAGAAATCCAAATAAATGGCAAATAAAGGCTCGGTTATATTCTAAACAGGAATAAATAACTTTATTCATTTCTATTAATTTCAAGATACACAAATGAAACTGTATCAAATGAAAAACAAATATTTGCAATCCTATGTAAAATAAAATTATTGTGCAGTTTAAACATTGCTAAATTACATTGAAATGTTGTATCACAATATATTGTTAAATTAATATATTGTTGTTGTTTTATCCAATATTATTTGATTGTATTTATTTCTAATTGAATTTTGACACTCCTGTTATTCAGCAATGTTTAAAGTTTACAGTAATTTTCAATTTTCAAAACTGCATGAAGTTAAGGTTAATAAAGCATTTATTAACATTCAAAGTAACCTTTATTATATGACTGAATAATAAGATCCATAAATGTTGATTTCAATAGTTTATAAACTGTTTACTTATTCTGAATTATTCAAAAAGCCCCCAACTACTCTTAAATACAAATGGTTTGTAATTAATGCAAAACTGAATTTAGTAATGAACAATTAATAAGTAACAAAGTATGAAAAAGCAATTATTAAGCACAAAGGTGCTTGTCAAGAATAAAGATTTGTAGGTGAATTTATGAAAGTCTGTTAATGTAGAGATAATGCTTAACAAATAATGAACTATTTGCTAATTCTTAGTAGATAATTCATAGTGTTTACGATTGAGGTTGGGGGAAAAGGGGCGAGGACCCAAGTGCAGGGTAAATAAGTATTTATTTATAATAAAATAAAATAAAAGGCTAAATAAACAACCTTGAGGGGGAAAACATTGACAAAACACACAAAGAAACTTCACTGGGCAGGCTGGTAGGGATCAGGGCTGGACAGACAGGACAAGACTACAAACAACGACATATGATAATGAACTGGCACAGGACAGCAGACATAAGGGGATTATAAGCAGAAATAAATTGACACAAATAGGTGAACATGAGAAACTAATAATGGGTTAATAAAAAGGGTGGGACTAGACAATAGATGGGAGAGCACATGACACAAAGAGACCACACAAGCCATGCGCTCATATAAAACAAGACTAGAACACGCAGCCAATGAGAGAACTCATTAACCGCATGTTCGTATGACAAGACAAACACAACACTGAAGCACACAACAAAAGCATGCGGCCACAATGTAAACACATGCCTCGTGCTTTGACAACAGACGCAAGACAGGAGCACATGATAGATGAACACCTTACCGTGCGCTCAGACTTATGCAACGCACATGTTTCATCTCAGCACCAACCAAAACCGAAACCAACTAGACATACGCTGAGAATGAAACAGAACAAACACAAACACAAGTACAAGAGCATGTGTCCCAAGGACGCACAAACCCCACAGCCTGCGCACACCTACGACAATGCACACCCAGAGACACACATAATGACAAAACAAGTGCTCGACCCAAGAAAACTCGAGCCGAGCACAACAGGACAGGACAAAACAGAGCTAGTGTCTGGACTCTGCCACCAAAACAAGAATTTACAAGAACCCTGACATAGTTGTTGTGTGGGCCCGTCTTAGCGCCGACAATACTGCCCCCAGATGTTGCATATGCCGCTGCCAATCATTACTGAAAATGATTATGTCATCCAAATAAGCAGCGGCATATGCTGAGTGAGGGATGAGTATTTTTTCCATCAGGCGCTGATATGTTGGTGCCCCGAACAGCCCGAATGGAAGCGTCACAAATTGGTGCAATCCAAACGGCATTGTGAAGGCTGTTTTTTCGCAGGATATTGGAGTTAGGGGGATCTGCCAATAACCCTTTGTTAAATCCAATGTCGAGTAATATCGAGCAGCACCTAACCGGTTGGGCAACTCCTCAATACGCGGCATTGGATATGCATCGAATTTCGACACCGGGCTGTCCCAGTCGCTGTGGGATTCTTCTACTACACCCAATTTTAAGATATTACTCTAGCTCAGTAATGTAGTTCCGGATGTCGAGTAGCTGGCTTGCTGAGAGATGATCGCCCCCAGTGACCAGAGTGCTTGGCTGTTTCAAGTCGGTGCTCTCTGGCCCCAGCTCATCCTCATTAGTAACAAGCGTAGCCAGCGCCACCTTCTCTGGCTCCCTCCACAGCTTCAGCAGATTAACGTGATATACCTGACGTGAATCAGCCCTGTCCAAACATATCACCTCATAATCCAGATCATTGACTCGTCATGTCACCACAAACGGCACTTGGTGTAGTAAGTAATTTGGAGCTGGAAGTGGGTAGTAGTACAAGGGCTTTATCTCCCTGTGAAAATGTACATAGTTTAGTGCCCTTATCATAACACCAGCGTTGGTCATCCTGGGCATTGAGAAAATTCTCTGAAGAGAGCCACCCCAGTGTGTGGAGTTTTGCTCTTAGGTCCAGGATATATTGAATTTCATTTTACTCTGCGAAGGTTCATCCTCCCAAGCCTCTTTAACAGCATCCAAAACCCCACATGGCTGTCTGAAGTAGAGAAGTTCGAAGGAGGAAAACCCAGAGGAGGCTTGGGGAACCTCCTGCACAGTGCATAATAAGGGCTCCAACCACTTATCCAAATTTTTTGCGTCCTCGTGAAGGAATTTACGGATCATTGATTTAAGCGTGCGATTAAACCTTTCCACCAGCCCATCAGTTTGTGGGTGATAGACGCTTGTGTGAATAGATTTAACACCCAATAATCCGAAAAGTTCGCACATGGTGCATGACATGAACGAGGTGCCTTGATATATAAGAATCTCGTTGGGGATTCCCACTCGGGAGAGTATACGAAATAGAGCTTCCGCAGCACTCTTTGCTGAGATGTTACGGAGTGCTATTGCTTCCGGGTATCAGGTTGCATAATCCACTAGGACTAATGCATACCGATGCCCGCGTGCGGATCGCTCTAATGGCCCGATGAGATCCATACCAATTATCTCGAAGGAGATCTCCATAATTAGTAAGGGGTGCAATGGCGCTTTTGGGGTGGCCAGTGAATTCACCAGCTGAAATTCGCGGCATACAGTGCACCATCTACTCACATGACCATGAATGCCTGGCCAAAAGAATCCGGTTATGAGGCGATTTAGTGTGGCCGCCTGACCTAAATGTCCGGCCATAGGATTAGAATGAGCCACCTGGAAAAGCATTTCCTGATGGCTCTTTGGTACTAATAATTGGGTTTTATCTTCTTTTGTCTGAGTGTCTTGGGTCACGATACACCCTGTCATTATTGATCGCAAAATACGGATAGGAGAGGGGCTGATCAGGCTGAAGGTTTTGCCCATCAATGACTGGCACTCTTTCGAGTTCATGTCTCAACGTGTCATCACGTTACTGCTCCAGGGGAAAGTCTTTACACCGGGAAATTCCCAGCCCTTCCCCTGAGTGACCACCGTGTGACATCACGATTTGGGATTCCCCCAGCTGAGCGACACTCCCCCTATCCAGCGATTTCTTCTTCCAAGAAACACCCGCACATAAGACCCCTAATAATCTATTAAATCCAGGCCAATTGGTTCCCAGAATGAGCGGGTGTTTGAGGTGCGGGTTAACTGCTACCTTAACGCTATGCTTTTTACCCTGGAATTGAATGTCTATCGCCGTTAACGGGTAGTGAACTACATCCCCGGGGACACACCTCACCCTTACCGTGCAGCTTGCATCCAATGTTGGGTCTTGAAGCAGGCTTTGGTGGATGGAGGTTTGGTTACACCCCGAATCCACCAAAGCTTGATATGTACACCCTTTCATACTCACAGGTATCCGGTATAGCCCGTCACGATCGGGGGCGACGATTGGTGTGGCAGGGATGCGAATCAACGCACTCACCTCCTTCATGGAGCAAACTTTTGGTGCGCTATCCTCGACCCCACAGCGCCAATGCATCAGCCCAGTCCATCTCACTATACCCCAAATTAATAAAGGGACTGAGCCGACAAGAAAATGAATATATATATATATATATATATATAACAGTTTTGTCTGGTTCTCAAATCTGATTGGCTGATAGCCGTGATATATTTAAGTAATATCAGCACCTGTACAGCCTCTTTACGCTTTGTGTTTTACTCCGCCCACATACAGCCAGCAAAAAGCAGACACTACAGATCTTAAATTTAAAAGATGTTTGCTCAACTGTTTAACTGTCAGCTTATGATTTGAATCCGGTAGAAAGTAGTTCCTCATACAAAAGGGTTTTTGAGACTCTCAATGTTTGATTTTGTTTTTATATACACAATTATGCCGTCAAACTGTTGAATAAATGCAATATCACACGAGTAGCAGTGCGATATGGCTGTATATCGGCACTGGAGGTGGCACTAAGGCACTCGGCCTACGACCTCGTGCCAACGTATGCCTCCCACCGGTGCCAATATATAGCCATATCGCACTTCTACTCGTGTGATATTGCTCATATATATATATATATATGAGCATAGTTTAGCTCCAACTTCCTCCAACACACTTGCCTGGAAGTCTTGTATACCCAGAAAGAACTTGATTAGCTGGTTCAGGTGTGTTTAATTGGGGCTGTAACAAAAATATGCAGGACACCGGCCCTCCAGGACCGAGTTTGGACACCGCTGGTTTAAACCAAGTGGGAGCTGAGGGAATTTTCTCTGTGAATCCTTTGGAAAGTTTCTGCCATTTTTCTTTTTTTTTTGTCTCTAGAGTCTCCTGGAGCCACTGACCAGACAAAAGTTAGAGGAAAGTGAGGGTTGTGATTCCAGTACAGTGTGCTTCATTGAGAACAAGAGTTATGCATTTTCATTCAGCAGTCCTTCCCCTTCTCAAGCCGGTGTGAAGCTTCATCTCAGTGAAGATGAGGACAGCCTTTCCAGTATGAGTGAGATCAACCCCCCAGATACCCCAACACAAGTCCCCACCAGAGAATCTGTTTCTACAGAGACCTTCCCGCTGGACTTCAGAAAAACAGACTGCACTTTCAGCAATTCTGTTAATAATGAAGTCATGAGTTTAGAAAGCAAAGACTCTGGAGAGACTATTACAGGTTCAGTCTTCACTCCAGCAACTTCCAAAACGCCTGCTGTGGTTTTCATGAGCGATTACACCACCATGGAGATCTTCAAGCAGGTCACCATGAATGGAATTCAGAGTCCATCTATTCAAACAGTAAAACCAAGTTTTGTTGCTGGACATCCGGGACAGGATTACATTCGACAGTCTGTATTGCAATAAGTAAACAGTCTAGTAAACATGATTGATGTAACAGAACTAAAGTTTTAATACAGCTTCAGCCACAGTGATTATTTGACAATCCCTCTGGGGTCATTTATAAGCATTCATTTTCCTGTTACAACTGAACTTTAGTGACTACTCAACATCTCCCACAATGGATATATTAAATGTTCTCATTTGTTCACAAGTGTTAGTACTGACTTCTGTTTTTTTTTTTTTTTTTTTTTTTTGTGATTGAAATGTTTTGAAACATGTCATTATTCAACTTAAAGTTCATTTTAAATACTAAAGTAGGTTAACTAGTTAAGTTAGGTTAAGGCAATTTATTGAACGACAGTAGTTTCTTCTGTAGAAAATCAGGGGCAAAATGTTCAGGGGCCTAATAATATAAGGCTTAAATTGTAATACATTATTAAATCTGTTTTTATTTTAACCAAACTAAAAGGAGGTAAAATGTGTCTGGCACAAGCTTCTCCACAGCAACAGAGAAGGCTCGGCTGAGCGAAAAAAATACTTCTCTGCATCACTATTTTTGTTAAACAGATTTTTGTACCTTAATTGGGTTCCAGATGCAGTTTATAAACTTGTGGCGTAGTTAAAGCGGAGTTTGATCGGGATATTCCATTACGCTGCATTTTTTACGTCTGCAATCGGGTGCTCTCTGTTTACGCAACGTTAGCTCTGTTAACTCGGTAATTTAGACAATAGACTGTTGACAGAGTAACGTTAACGTTCGTTTATAAAGGTTAAAACGATGCTTTTGCAGTTGTGTCGAATAGTATGCACTTATGAGAGTTATATGGTACGTCTAAATTACTGTCTTTTGCAGACAGCAAGATATATGCTATAGGCTAGTTAACCGTAGCATAGCTTCCCATCACTTTTTATTAACTTGAAACTCCTCAAATACATTTGGGCACCCAGAAAAAGAGTGAAAAAGAGTGAGACTGCTGCTGAGCCATTTCTTGGTCCTCCACCAAAAAAAAAAAAAAAAAAAAATCTTCAGGTTCTGTCTGGAAGCATTTTACAGTCAGTGGTGCTGCAGATAAAACAAAGTGATACTGTATGTAATGTGTGCAAAAGTGAAATCAGCAGAGAGAGATATTAAACATCTGTCAACATCTTCTGTGCATAATCATTCATTTCTTTTCGGCTTAGTCCCTTTATCAATCTGGGGTTGCCACAGTGGAATGAACCACCAATTTATCCAGCATATGTTTTACGCAGTGGCTGCCCTTCCAGTTGCTATCTAGCACTGGGAAACATCCATACACTCTCTTTCACACACATACAATAGGGACTATTTAGCTTACCCAGTTCACCTGTATTGCATGTGTTTGGACTGTGGGGGAAACCGGAGCACCCGGAGGAAACCCACGCCAACATGGGGAGAACCCAGTCGAGGCTCGAACCAGCAACCTTCTTGCTGTGAGGCGACAGTGCTACTCACTGTGCCACTGCGCAACCTTCTATGTAATGTATTATCACATGCACTAAAAGCATCCTCTCCTGATACTGTCTGTGAACCCCCCACAAGCATCAACCCCCTCAATCAGCACAGCTATGTTCTGCTAAATCATCCACAAGCACCAAACCATCAACACAGCCACATTCTGCCCCAGCAAGTCAGTTTCAAACATAAAAAAAAGTAAAAAAACAAACAAACAAACTTTTAGTATTATATAGAATACTTTTGTTCTGCCAGATCTCCCAGGCAGGGTTTTATTTAGATTTATTTAGTTAATTTTAGTTTTTGGAATTCTGTGCATTGGAAAGAAGTTCTTTCAGAAGAAGAACAGTTTTTTTAAGTATTATTTGTTTTTATTCTGTCTATTCAGTGTCAAGAACCGTGGTGGTGGGGTTCATAATATTCACAATGGTATTTTATTAGTTGTTGGTTTAGCCATGGATGAGATAATGGCTTCTATGTAATTTTCTTTTCAATGACATTTCTTGTCACATGTTCAAAAACAACAACCAATATTGCATATCTATAATTTATATAATAGGTATAATTAAACAATACTTTAACTATAACGTAAATTAGAAGTGTAATAGAAAAAATATATATTTTTGCGCCATTTTGAATTTTAACTCGAATACAAATACAAATACAAATACAAATACTTTTCCCCCCTCAACAAATACAAATACAAATACCGGCTGCTCCGCACATCCCTAATATATACATATATATATATAAAACAGTTTTGTCTGGTTCTCGAATCTGATTGGCTGATAGCAGTACGTTATTCTGCAATATCAGAACTTGTACAGTCTCCCCACTCTTGTGTATTACTCTACCCACATAGAGTGACAGCAGATCAATAAACTCACTACAGTTTGACAAATATTGCAGCTATTGGATAACAACATGTACTTTTGAGGCTTTTTTAGGCTAGACAGTAATTATTTAGATTGCAATTATGCAGTTTATTTATAAGGATAATTTAAATATGTATAATTTTTGAGATACAGCACATCGGCATCTGTTTGTGTTGACCATCTGTTTGTTTCTATATGAACTCTCTTTTTCATACTGCAGACTAGTTCAATAAAAAGTAAGAAGTAATACCCGCATATGTATAGTGTTTTTCCTCATCACAAACACAACAGTAATCTGGTAGTGCTTGCATTGCTTTGGCTTTTTTTTTTTTTTTTTTTTTTGTGATATCCTGATTGCAACAGAGAAATACTGGTAAATGTCTGTAGACTGTTGGCATTTCATGCCGTTCAGTCTTATGATCTTAACATGTCAGCAAATTAACTTGCTTAATCATCAATTAATACATTATTCTAGAAAATCATTAAAATACTAGCTGTAAAGTGACATTGGTGAAGTAGCGCCAATGTCCAATGAAGGAGTGGCGGAAGAAACTAATTCCTCGTACAAAAGGATTATTTTTAGACTCTACGTGTTTGTTTTTCATTTTTATATTCTCGATTATATGTCGAACTGGTGTATAAATGCAATATCACACTTGTAGCAGTGCAATATGACTGTAAATCGTCACTGGTTGGGGGCACTAAAGCTCTCAGCCAATGCACGCCTCTCACCAGTGCTGATATACTTTGCCACTGTATTAGCACAAGGACATATATAGTCCTGACTACTGTACATCCACAAATATATGTCATGTGATCAAAGAACTAAACATTACATAATAATATTAAATATTTCCAGGAGACTCCTAATTTATTTAACATTTAAAATATTTAAACAAATAGTTTGACCATATATATATATATATATATATATATATATATAACTATAACTATATATATATAATAACTATAAAAAAAATATTCAGTCACTATAAGCTGTATAGAAGTGTCTTGAAAAATATCTAGTAAAATATTATTTACTGTCATCATGGCAACGATAAAATAAATCAGTTATTAGAAATTAGTTATATAAACTATTATGTTAAGAATAAGTTGAAAAAAAAATCAATTAACATTCGCAATGCATAGCTGATTTAACCTACATTGCACTGGTAACTTCCTCAAGCATTTTACACATAGGATATGTATAAAAAATCCTGAAACCTAACAAATGTTGTCCTTTATAAAAACAAATGTTTTTGCTTGTTCATGTCTATTTATGCTTTTAATTTTTTTAAACAAATAAGTCCTAATGTCAACTACACAGAGGATACTGAATAACAAAAATAAATGATATATTTTCACAATTTTCTTTTTTTTTTTTTTTTTTAAATTAAATGAATATGATATGAAACATTTAAGGCCAAGACTCATCTAATAGTAATCAAATGTTTAGGTAGAGTACATTACTTAAAACATAAAATCTATGTTACAAACCACACATTGTTATTTAATAATTATTAATAGACAGCAATTTCAGAGTAACTGGCTATTTTTTTAGGCATACCTGTCCAACAATTTGTTAACAAAAATTTCTAATGAGCCAATCACACGGCAGCAACTCCACGCATTTAGGCATGTAGACATGATCTAGACCAGGAGTGTCAAACCCAATTCCTGGAGGGCCGAAGCCCTGCACAGTTTAGTTCCAACCCTGCTCCAACACACTTACCTGTAGGTTTCAAACAAGCCTGACAGACTCAATTAGTTTGATAAGGTGTGTTTAATTAGGGTTGGAACTAAACTGTGCAGAGCTACGGCCCTTTTGGAACGGAGTTTGACACCTGTGATCTAGACGATCTGTTGCAGTTCAAACAGAGCATCAGAAAAGGGAAGAAAGGTGATTTAAATGACTGAACGTGGCATGGTTGTAGGGGCCAAACAGGCTGATCTACAGGGGTTTTAATGCAGAACCATCTCTAGGGTTTACAGAATATGGTCCAAAAAAAAAGAAAATCTCCAGTGAGCAACAGTTTTGTGGGCGCAAATGCCTTGTTGATGCCAGAGGTCAGACTGATAGAAAGGCAACAGTAAGACAAATAAGCACTCGTTACAACCAAGGTATGCAGAAGAGCATCTCTGGAAGCACAACACTTTCCAACCTTGAATCAGATGGGCTACAGCATCAGAAGACCACACTGGGTGTCACTCCTGTCATCCAAGAACAGGAAACTGAGGCTACAATTCGCACAGGCTCACTAAAATTGGACAATATAAGATTGGAAAAATGTTGCCTGGTCTGATTAGACTCAATTTCAGCTGCGACATTTGGACGGTAATTTAGGCTGGTGGTGGTAGTGATGTAATAGATATTTTCTTGGCACTCTTTGGGCCCACTAGTACCAATTAAGCCTCGTGTCAATGCCACAGCCTACCTGAGTATCCCTACTTTCATCAGGATAATGCACCATGTCATAAAGCGTGAATCATCTCAAACTGGTTTCTTGGACATGACAATGAGTTCACTGCAGTCAAATGGTGTCCACAGTCACCAGAACCAATAAAATAGAGCACCTTTGGGATGTGGAGGAATGGGAGATTTGCATCATGGATGTGCAGCTGACAAATCTGCAGCAACTGCATGATGCTATCATCAGCGAGTGTATATCTACCACTGACAATGTGTAAATAAACATTTTGCATTAATTGACCACTTTAAATTGACAATCCACGTTAAATTCAACATTTATAATTTATTCAGCTTATGTTGTCACAAACCTGTGTAACATTTGCAGAACACAATACAAGACTATTTGAAGAATGTTTAAAATTACCATACAATGAAAATGGCAAAATGCCTAATAAAATACCAATGTCACTGTTCGCAAGTGTTCTAAAACCATGACTGGCATACAAAACATTTGCTTATGACAAATATTTAATGCTCCAAACTCTCAACTATCATTTCCTTTTGTATGCATTTAAACATTTGACCTTGTTGATGTATATCAATCTGAATACTTGGAAGCATTAAAATATCTTGTAATAAAAAAAAATAAATAAAAATAAATAAATAAAAACATTAAGTGATTAGAGTCACGTAATGGGACCGTGACCTACACCAGAGTGTAATCAGTGTTTATCAAAAAAATAAAATAAAATGATTGGAAACTAGGTTCAAGCTTTCAAGCTAGAAGTGGAGTGTATAAAAAGAGTTTCATTAAACAAATGAAAAAATACAAGAGATATTTGAGCAGGAGATAGAGTAGTGCAATTTCGAAATTACAGTCAGTCTGTGAATGAATAAATGAATGAATGAATGGCTGTTCTAAGTTTGATTAATCAAATAATTTAGATAAAATCCTCTTTAATTAAATGTCCCCCCAACCCGCAGAGCTGTTGATTTGCAATACAGCGTACAAGTCATGGACCACATATGTGGTATTATTATATGACATTTATATGACAAAATGTACTTTTCTTTGGGTCATTTTTGTCACTCATACTGTAAGGATTTTTCATGACCAACAACTATTTGAAAAATATTAAAGCAAGGCTGTAATTTTTTTATGTACTACATTTTCAACCATTCTTGAACATGAAATGTCATTAAAAATGTAATCTGTAACCATAAATATAGAATTATTTAAATTTGTTATATTTTAAGTGTAAAGTATGGAAACTTTGAAGATCAAAAGCACAAGACAAAATGTAACATTGTAAAATGTGATTATAATTTAAAATATCTATTTCTATATGCATATATAGTCAAATGTAATGTATTCCTGTGACTTAAACATAAGTACACATTCAGTTACACAGTCTCTCAGAAATTATTTTACGCTGATTTCCTTTTCTGTTATGATTATTTATGGAGTTCAGTTGTTAAATAAAAGTTATCAATGATGCAGTTATTTACTTTTGCTCCATGTTTTTGTATTGTATGATTTCATATTATGGATTATAAAATTTTAATTTAACTCATGTATGCAATTTAGAATATCAATTTTAATTAATTAAATGCGTTCTTGATTATTAAAAGTTTTTTTTGTAAGGTAAACTTGCTACTTTATCAAAAAAGCACAATATAAAGAGCATCAAATCATCATATTAGAATGATTTCTGAAGGAATGTGTGACCCTGAATAATAATGCTGAGAATTCAGCAGTAAAAGGCAAGAATACATTACATTTAAAATATATTTATTTAGGGGAAAATATGATATTCTAATAAACAAAAAAGTGAGCTTCACATGTGGAGACAACACTCACATTTTCTTTAGAAAACACTGTGGAACAGATGAATTGGAAGTACAGTATAACCTCTTTAATATAAATGTTATGATAGGGAAAGTCTTTTATACATGTATATCAAAACAGAGAATCAGTGCTCACAAATCAAAAAGTTACTCAATTCTTATTCATATTAGTTGTTCTGCTAACAAGTACTGTATATATTGATACATACCTAATTACAAAATGAGACTGAACAAAACAAAAACACCCGATATAAAAAATAAATAATATTCAAAAGCTTAAAGCTTTAAATTGCAGTTATTCCAAATGGGACAACAGTCGCCGCTAATAACTTTACTGTGCTCAGCGACCAGAAAAGGCTTCTTGGAAAACTGGATATATGCCACACCACAATACTTGACCGAAGAGCTTATTTTAAGTCTCTGTATACACTGTTCAAACAAAATACTGTTAAAAATAAAACTATGCATTTTACACAAGCTTAACTATGATGCTAGATAAGATCTTATAAGATAAGATTCAGTTACTTCATTCACATTGTTAAATATTGTTGCCACACAATCTTTGTCTAGGCACTTTTAACATGCACTGTGCTTCTACACAGTTCACTCATAGTGTTACTCCACAGTACGCACATACTAAATGCTTTATAGTTTCTCTTTACTTTAATTGATGGAAAGACCAGGTAGAGCAGATGAATCTTTAGGCAAACCTTTTAAACGGGAAAAAAACAACGCCGATTTAATGTTGTTTACATTATAGCACATAAAAATGAGGAAAAAGAAATGCCATAAAATGTCAAATTAAAATAAAAAAGCCTAATAGTTTAATGCAAAATATATTGTTTGACTTTAGAGTAAAACATAACTTGCCTTGAGAATAGCACTAATAAAAAGGCTTTATTTTAGTAAAATTGACCAAAAAAAGGACTCAAAACCACTAGAATATAAACAACTTTACATGCAAAAGAAAACAAACGCTTAATGAGTTTTAAAAAGTTGTTCAATAAACCACTTCTTTCTGACAAAAAAAGATCTTTACATTTTCATCCATATGAATATCATATGACAGGAGCATATTCACAGCAGCAGAAAACGTTTTAAGAAACCTACAATCACACAACGAACACAGAAGAAGCACTTTAAAAGGAGTGTCAGTTGTTACAGTATGATACACAGTTCTTGGCATTACTGGTAGACGGTGATCACTCAGCTGCAAAGAGATTGTCCTCCTCGGCGTAAGAACTCCTGTAGCTGCCATTGAGATGAGCTGGAGGAGATCTGTCATCGCTAACCATTGAGCCCGAGCCGTCCATTTCACTGTCATACTCGTGTTCCATCTGTTCATAGACCCTTTCTCTCTGCAAAATCAGAGAGAAAAACTCAAAAAAAGCCCAACAATACTGTCCACTTAGTAAAACTGACTGAATGGACGTTTCATTTAAACAATATTCAATCAGCCCCATTCAGATTACTTGATTTTTCCCAATGGTGGCATGATTTGTTTGACATAGGGCACAGGTGTCAAACTCCTGGAGGGTGTTCCGGGTGGGCTGTTTAGTTCCAACCCTAATTAAACACACCTGATCCAACTAATTGACTCCTTCAGGCATGTTTGAAACATATGCCTCATTCACACTAACAGCGACTTTGTAGTTTCCTGCTGCAAACACAGGTTTGGGTAGGTCTACAGCACAGAGAATGGATCACGAGAGCTCTACCGGTGCTCTTGTTGGCTTTCACTGAAGAAAGTCATTCTTCATTTGCATAATGTTGAAGGATTCTCAACTTTGTCATGTCGCTCGACACGCCCACCTGGTAGATATATAGATACTGTAGATATATACACTAGATATCGCATACACACCCTGAGTATGTGTCAATAGTGCCACCACATTTGTTCAGTGCCCCCAGGACAAATGTCATTCAACCTCACTAGTCAAGACAAATGTGAAGATGCTGAACCTTAACACTGTGTACGGGGTGTAGTAACGAGTAAACAAAGAAAACAAAGCACAAAGGCAGAGCGCTTCATAGGTAAGATTTAGTTTTTATGTTTTTGCGTGTCACAAAATTTTGTGCTAAACAAATATTGATGATAACAGTCACTTAGGGTACTGATCATAAGGCAAAGTAGCACCAACTCACACTAAATACTAGACTTATGCTAATTTGGTTGAATAAAATGAGCAAACAATGTAAATAAAATATGACATCAAGATGCTGTGATGCTAGAAACTTGTATTATTGTCAGCTAAGTTAAATACCCCTTAACTACCAACAACTTGATGAAAGAAATGTATAGAAAGCACAGCGATAGGAAGACTTGACAAGTGCAGCCTTCGAGTCAGGAACAACACTTTTGAAAAAGAATAATAATAATAATAATAATTGCTCACATTTATATATCGCTTTTCTGGGCACTCAAAGCGCTTTACACAATGAGGGGAATCTCCTCATCCACCACCAGTGTGCAGCATCCACCTGGATGACGCGACGGCAGCCATTTTGCACCAGGCCTCACACCACACACCAGCTAAATGGTGGAGAGGAGACGTGAGGGTGATGAAGCCAATTATGATATGGTGAGGGTTAGGAGGCCATGATGGACAAAGGCCAGTGGGCAGTTTTGGCCAGGATGCCAAGAAGAACATCAGAGGCTTACTTGAATATGTTACAGTTCATTTAGAAAAACCTGTGAGGTTCTGGATGTGTTTTATGGAATTATGCGACTAAAGCTTTATGAATCAGGTGTATGCCCTTGAGGTTAAAAAAGAAGAAGAAAGGTTTATGAGCAGAAGAACACCATGCCCAAAGTGAAACATGGATTTGGGCCAGTCTTGTTATAACGGTGCTCTGCTTTTGAGGGAAGTAGAGAACCATATGAAAAACATAATGGACTCCTTATGAGACAGATCAACACAATTATTTGTATTATTTACTAAATATACACAGCTCCCTTTACTCCTCACCCTAATACCTCAACTCAGAGCAAGCCTCTGGTAACTGTGACATGATATATAAAGGCTTATAGCTGTAAAAATTTGAGTTTGCCCCAAATGCTTAGAAAATAACCATAGAAAGATTGAGAGAGACATGCTTCCCATTAAAAGGATTTTTCTCTATTATTGATAGACAAACATGTCTATAAATTAACCTACACATTCATGGAACAGCATTTTTGTCACTATTTGTGTTTGTACAACGCTCTTGGTATTTTATATATTTAACGCATACCTTTCTATTTAATTTCATGTTAGCTATTTTATGTCTACTATCAACATAATCCTCTCGAGACCCTGTGTACCTTGGTGTACAGATAATACTTTGATTTCGATTTGATTTTGGCTGCAATACACTCCAAAATAGTTGGGAGAGTGCATGTTTAAGATAGCATCCCATCAACTTTACTTCTAATTACAATGTTAAATTATCTGGAAATTTAAGATACCAATAAAGTGAGTTTTACAAGCAATTTTTCCCAAATCTAACAATATACAAAATTACCTATACATTATTTTCAACATACTGCAGACTGCAGTCGTGCTAGTCAAGCACATTCAGTCTATGGGCCCTATCATACACATGGCACAATAAGGCGCAAGATGTGTTTGGCTTGATGTGTTGCTATTTTCAGACCAGCACAACCCAAATTTTCCCTATGTTGCACCACGTTGTTTAAATAACAAATCCATTTGCTTTGCTTTGTGGACTCATAGGTGTTTCGGTCTAGAAAGAAAGTGTGTTAAGTCACATTGTTGGCGCGTTGCTATTTCGAGGCACTAAAATAGACTGCGCAACCGACCAGCTGAAAGCAGGTCTTAAGTCTAGTGCTGAGCGCGTTAGTTGTACAAATTGCTTAAAACATTTGTGTATTGATGTACATCCTGTTTATCTTTACAAATAAAAAAAGAATTAAAGGATTAAAATGTTACAAAAATTATTATTTTCCACATAAACATAAAAACCACTACCTCCATGCCTTCTTCATCTCGGGGGGCTTTTTCCAGTTTATTCATGACAATTTGCATTTGTATAATGTTATTATTATTAGCAGTTTTATTTAAGATATGCATGTTTATATTTGTTTTAATAAAAACCAGTTTAGATTTGTCCACCTGTCGGGTTTTAGACCACATGGGGCAGAAGAATAGGACGTTTGAATATAACTCAGTTTTTTTGACCACACTTCATTATTATTGCTCATTTGCTAGAAATTAAAACTAAATTTAGAAATAGTTTAAAAACAAATCTTTGCGCTTGAGAAACAAAATTGATGCCAATTGATGTCTTCAGTGGAGTGCGTACAACAATGTTTTTTTTCATATTTTACAAAAGAAAAAGGAGTAAAATAAAGAGAAAAGTAAAGAGGCCGAATGTAGGAGGCTTATTCTTTATTCTCGTGCTGCAGATGCTACGTTTAACGATTTTCTCATTGTAAAGCATTCAGTTTTTCCACTTATAAAGTCCGCCATGTAAATAGCAAATGCACCATGGCACAACGCAACTGACTTATAAAAGGGATGAGAGAGGAGACTCTGATTAGTTTAATGCGCATTATGCTCAAATCACACCCATAAGAATAAGCACAATCTTGCTAGACCATGTGCCGTGGCACATACCATATTTTTCCGTCCCTAAAATAGCAAAAGCTGATTCAGGCATGACCTTAATGTTTTTGCGCCCTGTTCTTTAGACTTTGCGCCTAGATCGTTAAAACAGAGCCCTTTATCTTTGAAACCATGATGTTGTAGCCCATGCAGAAAGTGACAATGTAATATCTGTAGACTTACTTATAAACGATGTAATATTGATGAAGGAATATGTCTCTGTTTAATCTTAAAACTTACAAATTAAAATGTAGATCCCACTGAGCTGAGAAACAACAGCATCACTACAAAAACTGATATACAACTTTCACCTTGGTAAACAAATAATTTTTTATGTTTCAGATGACAGAGTTTTTTTGATGTTCTTCTGAGCATGTGGCTTTATTTGAAAGCACAGCATTACAGTTTTTTATTAGGTCATCTAAGGGCTGAATGTCATCTACATTCTGGAGAGGATTTCTGACTTCTAATAATAATAAAAATTTAATCCTTTAATTATTAAAAAAAAAAATGTTTTTACGTTAGTTGATGAAAACCTAAACTGTTTGCAATATTGCAGTGAGAAATGTGATGTTTGATTTGTTTGACAATTCCCTCTCGACTTTTGTCACAAATGATAAACCATGATCAGCCTTTACTTTTGCATGCACATATAAAACTCTCTTGAATTGAGGTTGTAATTATCACTAATTTGGATTTTTGATGTTTGCCGTTTTGATGAACTCTGTACGTTTTCATCAGATATCAAAATGAAATGTACAAAGTTCACACTTTGTCAATAAGATGTCACAATTGGGGGAAGTACAAGAGCTTTACGGTTAAAACTGTAATAATGATGTGTATCGTAGGCAGACAGGCTTGATTGTAAAATTCAATCTTTAACAGGATCAGCAATGATAACCTGTTTCTTATCTAAAAAAAAAACTAGAGCAGCACACCGAGATGTAGCTGAGCTACATACTGTGCAGTTTATTTGAATCTGCAACGGAGGTCTTTGAAGTGCATGCTGAGCAATAAATACTTCAGTTTTCAGCACTTCAATAATTGCCAATAGATTAAAAAACTGATCCAGTTAAATCAGTAAAAAACTGACAATTCCCCAGTAAATATCTTATGCTCCATTTATTTTTGTTGCTCCATGTGTGTATCTGAAGCTGTTTGCTTGAAATGTAAACTGGACTCACCTGGGAGGGTTTTGCTTTATATTCAGAATCCCTGCTTTTTCTTCTGAATGCTGAGCTCTCAGCTCTTTCCCTGCTACTGTCCCATCCTTTCTCCCTCTTTTTTTCTCTCTTGCCTCTGAAAATAGAATATTAAGATTTTACAAATGACTTTAGTTATACATTAGCGTCAGACACATATTGTCACTCTCCGTGAACCTTTTTGTTGGTGTTGGTGACCTGGCTCTCTGCCTTGGTGACCTGGATGGAGATCTGCTTCTTTTCTTATGTCCTCTGTGAGATGAAGGTGGAAAGAAATAATTGAATATAAATATCCTCTTCACTATGTAGTAGCTGACTATTCAGTCTGGAAAAATTTGAGCATGTGTTGCTTTTACTAGTAAATCTATCTGTTCTGTAAGAAAGTAATAAAAAAAAGAAAATTACACTTTGGCCCATTTTCCATTTATTTTCCTTAAACTGGAATGAATAAATGTATAATTTATTGTAAACCAAATGAATTTTTATTAATGTAAAAAAATGAAAAATGTGAGGGCAACATTTGATTGTGTTACTATTTAATCATTCATTTTCTTTTCGGCTTAGTTCCTTTATTAATCTGGGGTCGCCACAGCAGAATAAACGCCAACTTATCCAGCACGTTTTTTTGCACAAATTGATGCCCTTCCAGCTGCAACAATATATATATACCGTAGTGTGTATACATATATACATACAATGTGTCCAAAAAGTATCAAAAATAACATATCCACTATATACAAATAATGAATTGCTCATGGTACAGCAGCAACTTGTTGACTAAACAAGCAATGTTTTTCTTCTGCATTATTTGTGCACATTACCACCTGCTGTACTGTTACGTAATCAGGATCTTCTTCTATTATTTTGTTCTAGCATCGCTCTATCTCACACCTGGAGATATCAGAGTTCAGGTATCAGTTACCTTTGCTTTTATCTTGGCCTCATCTTTTATAGGCCACACCATTAATGGGTAGGTTTCATATTATACAAAAAACATTTGCGTCTCACAATTCAATATGCTTGCCAATCTTCATTAAATCCAACAAACACAAAAACATCATCATCACACTAAAATTTACAAACACAAATCTACCTTTTTCAAGATAGACAGACAGTGACATCCCTGCAGGACAACACAAATGTTTTTTTTCAGATTACCAACATTCCGTTCCGATGTGTGTGCACCCATTAATCTGCTAGCTATGGTTATGCAAGAATGAGTGAGGTAAGTGTATGCGTATGTACTGTATGTGCGTGTGTATGCACCAGCTCTGCCGTTCCCAGGTGTGAAGATCATATCTTCACATACATACAGTAGATACACACACACACACACACACACACACACACACACACACACACACACACACACACACACACACACACACAAAGTATAAATACATTTATCAGTAAAAGGCAACACTTGCTTATTCTGAAAAAAACAAAGTACAAATTCATATGCAAACAGGTCATCCCCCCTGATTAGATTACATTAGTCAGAATGTGCTCCACATAGATGAGTGGGCATGACAAACCACCTTCCTTTCTGTATGCTGAGAGGATTTTGTTTAGATTTTTTTTATTTATTGTTACATCAGCAACTTATGGAAATTGCATGGCAAGATTAACAAAGATAAAGTCTGGTAACTTTCATCAATATTTTACACTAAAACATTGGATATGATTTTTCAGTGCAACATATGATCATTTTTAATTCTTGCTCACAGTATAAAGCTCTTGTCCAATGGCTCTTAAAATTTCGCATTATAATAAAAATGTTTTAAGAGTGAAGCTTGACAGTGGTTGCATAGTCAGCATTAATCTTGATTGGCCAATTCGGCTTATTGCTATTTAAAGCTAAGACCGAGAAAAACATATTAGATTTAGCATTTATATATTGCTACTCTCTTGTAATTTGAAATGCTTCTTTTATCCTCGTTTTTAAGTTGCTTGAATCAAAGTGTCTGATAAATAAATATATATATATATATATATAATTTTTCTTCTTAGTATATACTTGTATATACTTAGTGCCCCCACAAGTGCCTGCTATATCGCACTGCTACGAGAGTGATATTGCATTTATACAACAGTTTGACAGCATAATTGTTTATATAAAAACAAAATCAAACTTGGAGAGTCTCAAAAACCCTTTTGTATAAGGAACTACTTTCTTCCGGATTTAAATCATAAGCTGACAGGTAAACAGCTGAGCAAGCATCTTTTAAACTTTAGATCTGTAGTGTCTGCTTTTTGCTGGTTGTATGTGGGCGGAGTAATACACAAAGGGTAAAGAGGCTGTACGGGTGCTGATATTACTTAAATATATCACGGCTATCAGCCAATCAGATTCGAGAACCAGATAGAACTGTTGTATATAACATGGTCATAAGTGATCAAAAGTTTGGCTATAGCTGCCCAGTTTGTCCTTTTTTGAACTCTGATTTGTCACACATAATGTAGTGTGCATTGCAATATTTTAAGCAAAACTGAGCTATTACTCTGCTAATTAAACCTTTACACTCTGCTCTTACTGGTGGACTGTGTGTGTGTGTGTATGTGTGTATATATATATATATATATATATATATATATATATATATATATATATCAATTGAGTTTTTTTTATCTTTTTGTGCATTCATCTGAAAGAATAGCCTTTCATTCTCTGTCAAAATGTTTTTTTTTTTATTGATTGCTTATTATTTGTTTTCTGTGATGTTTGTATCAAAAATATTGATATAACTGTGATTTAAGAAAATAATGACTTTGAGTTTCATTATGTTCTCTTTACTGTCTAATACTCATTGTACAAGGTTGTCAAATACTACAATGAAACCTTAGTAAAATATCCCTTACCCATATGTCAAAAAACTTAAGGGCTATAATGCAGCCAGTCCCCGATCCTAAATGGGGCTCTAGCAAAAAAGGACATTTTCTTCTAACCTGCTTGTACTGCGGGACCGTCTGGAACCAACATAGCATTTTGGAGGCGATCTTCCTGTTTTGTCCCGCAGCCTCTTTTCATCCCAGTCATCGTCCTTCCTTCCTTTACTGTCTTTGTCCTTCCTTCGGCCCCTGTGTTGGGAGACAACACTGGTCATAAATGTACTTTGCGGGAACAGACTGTAAGTGGAAAGAGGCCAGTGTGGAGGTGCCGTTTAACCTGGAATGAGATCGACTCTGGCTGCGTCTCCTTTCTCTGGAACGAGAATGTCTCCTATGGGACCCACATGAGTCATTAAATCTCTGCCGTGATCTCTTTGATGGATGCCCTCTATAAAAACAATAATGTAATATCAACAAGTTATTTAACACTGCTTCAGTGAAACATATTTATGGATTACACAGATTTTAAGCATGCACATTGCATTGATTGCATTAATAAATGCACAGGTTTCCTTATTTTTAATTATTGATTTAATTTACAAATGTATAGGCACAGTGTTGCATTTACATATTTTAATAATAATAATAATAATAATAATAATAATAAATTAGGCTTCATCATGATTTTTTTTTCAAATTTAAGACCTCTTATGATGCTAACTAACAGCCATTTCATATAAAACAAGATATGTTTATGGCCCTAAAAACTGGATTAAACTAAACACATTTTAAGGGGGCTTTCACACCTGTGATTTGATTCATTTGTTCCGAAACAGGGATTAAAATTGTTACAGTGTTGCTTTTTGTTCTCGGTGCAGTTTGCTTTCACAAGGCAAAGTTTATAAATGGACCAAAAGAGCTAAAACAAGTCACGTGCAAATGAACTCTCCTTACATTGGTCAGAGTTTCACAGTTTATTTTGCAGAGTCCTGCTCAATTGTCACCCTTATTTTAATTTATGATAATGAGCAATAGGACACTATAAGCCAGGGGTGTCCAAACTTTTTGGGCCGAGGGCCAGATGCAAAAAAACAAACGTTGTCGCGGGCCAAATTTTACATACATCACACAGACACGCATATATATATATATATATATAAATACAGTTGAAGTCAGAATTGTTAGCCCCCCTAAATTATTAGCCCCCGTTTATTTTTTCCCCAATTTCTGTTTAACGGAGAGAAGGTTTTTTTTCCACACATTTCTAAACATATTAGTTTCAGTAACTCATTTCTAATAACTGATTTATTTTATCTCTGCCATGATGACATTAAATAATATTTGACTAGATATTTTTAAGACACTTCTATACAGCTTAAAGTGACATTTAAAGGCTTAACTAGGTTAATCAAGTTAACTAGTCAAGTTAAGGTAATTAGGCAAGCTATTTTATAACAATGGTTTGTTCTGAAGACTTAGGGGCTAATAATTTTGACCTTAAAATGGTTCATAAAAAAAATTAAACCGCTTTTTATTCTAGCCGAAATAAAACAAAAGTCTTTCTCCAAAAGAAAAAATATTATCAGACATACTGTAAAAATGTCCTTGCATCATTTGGGAAATATTAAAAAAAATAAGAAATAAATCAAAGAGGGGCTAATAATTCAGACTTCAACTGTGTGTAGATAGATAGATAGATAGATAGATAGATAGACAGACAGACAGACAGACAGACAGACAGACAGACAGACAGATGGATCATAACAAGAACTGCTGCTTAATTGAATGCATGTAATAGCGACACCCGGTGGTTATTTATTGAATTACGTTCATTTTTGTATAGCGGGCCAGATTCTATTGATATTTATAAAAAGCCTCGCGGGCCGCCACAAAACTGATTGAGGGCCGCAGATGGCCCGCGGGCCGTAGTTTGGACACGCCTGCTATAAGCGGAAAGCTGCGCTTTAAATTTGAATGGTGACACCCACAGACATTGTCACAGATATAAATCAGAGGTAAGACTTTCTCATAGAGCTCAGAGCTCTGGCTAGACGGCAGTTCGGTCAATGTTCCTAATGGATAAAGAGCTCTCGTTAATAGTTCAGCATGCTTTCACTTTCGTATTTAACATTCTTACAGAGAATGTGGTTTAATGATTAATCGAAACTAACTGCATACAACATAAATTTAGCATTTGCAAAAATGATTTTCTTTGTACTGTGCATATTTATAATGCATATATGTACAGTTGCCATTAGAATTATTAACCCTCCTGAATTATTAGCCCCCTATTTATTTTTCTGCGATTTCTGTTTGACAGAGAAAAGACTTCTAAACATGTTAGCTTTAATAACTCATTTCTAATAACTGATTTATTTTATCTTTGCTATGATGACAGTAAATAATATTTTACTAGATTTTTTCAAGACACTTCTATACAGCTTAAAGTGACTTTTAAAGGTTTAACTAGGTTAAATAGGTTAACTAAGCTGGTTAAGGTAATAAGACAAGTTATTGTATAACGATGGTCTGTTCTGTGGACTATCGAAAAATATATAGCTTAAAGGGGCTTATAATTTTGACCTTAAAATATAAAAAAAAAAAAAATTAAATACTGCTTTTATTCTAGCCAACATAAAACACATACGACTTTCTCCAGAGGAAAAAAATATATAAGCAGACATAATGTGAAAGTTTCCTTTCATAAAGCTCTGTTAAACATCATTTGGAAAATATAAAAAAAATAATCAAAGGGGATTTAATCATTCTGATTGCAACTGTATATACATGCAAAGAAAATGTGTGTTTATATATAAAATATTTAAAATAAATAATATATAAACATGGATATATATGTAAATATGTTTATGTGTACATCTACATATACACTACTACATACATGTACATAAAAACATTTATTTTATATATGATTAGTCACCATAAATTTTCAAAGAGCACTACATGGTACATTACTGATTATTTGTTTAAATCTTTCTTTAGTCCATTAAAGTTCCTTTTAAATGGATTAGATTTGATTTGAACAGTTATACAATTACAAAGGGATAATAAATCTTTGCACTTTTACCATGTAAATATAATACTAATACCCCTAATATATCTACATGGTCAGTAAGATTATTTTTTGTTAATGTAGTCAGCATAACTTGTGTAGCTCAATAAATGAGTAGCTTCATAGTATTTTAACTGCTTCATATAGTGAGTAGCTATTGGCTTCACAAACTACTAAGGTTGCGTGTAAATCACCTGTGTCTAGACCTGGATCGCTTTCTTCTTGAGTTAGATGGAGAACAAGAGTGAGATCTGGACCTTCTGGAATGCCTGGATCTACTGGATGAAGGGAGTTCATTTTCTGCAAGAAACAAATAAAATTGCCATAAAATAAAAAAGATAAACATGAAAGCATCACTATGAGAGAGTCAGGGTTTTAAGAAGACCAACCTGGCTCGATAGCAGCAGCAATGGTTGACTGAGCCTCTCTGACTTTCTTCATGACGTCCTCTAGCTCTTTGGCTGCAGCTTGGGGTGTAAGCTCTGGAGGCTTCACTATGGCATTATTGGAGTGGTTAATCCTGAATAAGATGAAGTCAGGCTGATCAATCACTTATAAAAATAGGATGCACTAAAACTTTTCAAAAAAAAATATTTGTTTTTTTTATTTGTTATTAAAAGCAGGGACCAGGAAGGGATGTCCAATCTTGATTCTAGAAGGCCTACGTTACACAGATTTTTAGTTCTAGCAAACTTACTCAGACTTTCTTTAAGAGTTTTGTTTAGTTAGCTAAAGTATTTAATTCAGATTGGTGCTAAACTCTAAATAACAGTGGCCAATCAGAAACAATTAATTAATTTTTTTCAATACGCACAGTTTACAAGTCACCTAAAGTTAAACAGTTGTGTTTTACCATTTATGAATCCATTCAGGATGTCTCTGGGTCTGGCTGAAGCACTTTTAGTGTAGCGTAATACATTTAATTTTTTTCTCTTTTTTTTTTTTAAATGATAAATAAATCTTTGCTAATTGTTTCAAGAGATTAGCAAACCCAGAGATCAGCTAAACGGATAAGACCTAGACCCAGAGATCAGACCAAGAGATCAGCTAAACTTATTAAAAAAATGGTAAAACTCAACTCTACATATTAAACATTAGGTGAATTTATTTGCTAAAAAGTATGTTTCATTCAGAAGAGTTGTCTTCACAATATGAAAGCACTCACTTCAGTGGTCTGTCACCAAACATTACTCCATTATAAGTGAGTGCTCGTGCCACTGAATCCTGATCAGCAAACTCCACAAAAGCAAAACGTGTAGGTTGGGTTTCATCTCCTGCCATTCGGACAAACTTCACATCTCCCACCTGCTTAAAGAACTTGAGGAGCTGATCTGCCGTAGTGCTCTAAAAAACAAGGACAAAACTTGAAAGATGAATAAAAACAATGTATCATTAAAAAAAAAAAAAAAAAAACACAATTAAACCACAATTTAATCACATCTAGTTACTGTACAATTTTCAACTTGTTAGGTTTTATGTTGGATGCAGATAGTGGATCATAGTCTGATTCCAGACACTGCAATGTATGTCAATGAACTGCAAGATATAATGACAACTGTAACATAACTGTAGTCAAAGCAAAACATCTATGCAATATAGTGTAGTTTTATGTATAAAAAAAATGTGTTTCATTCAAACCCTTTTCTCTCCCTTATAATAGGACAAAAGATATCAGATATAAAATATATTTTTTTCAGGTGTACATTTTTAATGAACTCAAACAAATGCATAAACCACTTCTACTGCAAATGAAAAAACAAACAAACATGCACGTAGACTTGTTGACAAATTCTACTTATAGAATATCATATGTTAATATTATGTTAATGATTGTGTCTATTTATGAGCTAAATAAATGCTGAATATGGCAATACTGTAAACTGTTTTACAGTACTCTACAATACACTGAAGTAGAATCTTACACTGTTTGTCAAAATAACACTATTTATAAAATGTAACTAGACTATTAATAGATTTATTTTTACATACCTGTGAATTCAAATTGCCAACATACACCGTCCTTCTGATCTCATCCACTTTAGAGGGATCAACATTTCCCATGAGAGGAGGCTGAGCAGAGACTGCACTTAGAGTCGCCACAGAAGTGTCCAAACTAGACTTCAGGACCCCCAGGTTAGCTAAAGGGAGGCTCCGCTGCCCCAAACAAATACAACACACAATTAAAAATCTATCTGGCAAGCAGTTAATGATGCATATAATATTTTTTGCTGGAATACACTACGGATCTTTTAAACATAAACATTAAACCCTAAACAGACAGTAAAACATTTGTCATTATATGCTTACCAAATTTGTAAAAAAAATAAAATAAAATAAATGAATAAATAATAATAATAATAATAACAATAAAAAAATTTAAGAAGATCTGGGCATTAAGTGACTAAAGACTACACATTGTATGCATCTACAACCAGACTTCCAAATCATCTCAAACACAACAAACTTATGCAGGTACAAGAGCCGGAGACATTTAATAAAACCAATATTATTCTGTAAGTCATTATGACTCAAGTCACATCTCATTCAGCAAAAAAATACTGTTTATAATACATGTTATTATCTTTACTTTGCAATTTCCTTATATCAGGGGTCCGTTCTTCGTACGTGGATTACTCAGTTAGCTGGATTTGGGTATTGACGATTTGACACGATCCAGGATCGTTTCGTTCTTCAAAGCTGATCCGAGAGTTGTTGTCATAGCAACAGTTCTGCTAGGTCAAACCTGATCGGGAGCAGGTTCAATTCATATAAGCAGGATTAGATCGGCTCAGTTCAAGCAAAGATAATACAGAAAGTATGTTCTGAATTCTAATATTTTTTTACAGTAGTAGTTATATACACTTGGGAAAATGGTACATATTTTTTTAACTATATATATATATATATATATATAAAATTATAGTCATTCATAAAATAAATAAAGTTATACATATTAATAAAACTTATGCAATCTGTACCATCGAAATGAAAGTACAGACTGTCACCTTGTGGTGCAAAGAGAAAACTTATTGATATGAACTTTTTAGATCGCTTTAGTACAAATTGTGTATAATAGAAATGCAGAATATGTGACTTATTTTAAAGCAATAATACATTTATGATGTCATAAACATTTTTTGATAGTTAATAGTGATTTGAAGCTTCACAAAAGTTGCAGACGCCTTTACCAATATCAAAATGCTTTTGTAAACAACCAGTTATTCTTTACGCCGATTAAAAAATGGCTACAATAATATAGACAATATTTTCTAAATTTAGAACTAAATACACTGATATGCACTGAAATACATGATGATAACTCTTGACACAAGAAAGTGTAAAGCCTGCAGCTCACAACAAATGTGGAAGGTTATTGCGTGTCATATTTAACAAACCGTTTCTGCTAATTTGATGTAATTTTGCTCACATGTATAATTGAATATTAATCAGATGATGTCATTACGCTGCTGTGCCGTCAGCCAATCGCTGCATAGCTGATCATGATTTCGAGGATCGATAGATCTGTCCTTCACAACACACGCAGCGTTCTCAGATCAGTTCATCCAGACATTCTAATCTGATTCGCGAACTTGTTTGAAGAACCAAATTAGCGAGAGATCAGTTATCAAGATTAAAAGATCCAGGATCAGTCAAATCATCTTAGATCATTTAAGCGAGGTACGAAGAACGGACCCCAGGTGTACAAAAAAGTAAAAAAAATAAGAAAGAACCTTAAGTTTCCTAGATTTTGAGGTCCTATACATTTAGTTAAATCGAGTTAACTAGAGTAAAAGCACCATTTTTTCCAAGCATATTTTAGTAGTGCAGTATAATAACATAAATGAGACATACAAAGATACCCGGTATTGCCAGAACTAAAGTCAAAATGTAAATATTTATTTATTTTATTATTATTATTTTTTTTTAAATAAAGCGTTTATAAATTGTTCTTTAAATCGAGAGCTTCTCAGTAGATGTGGTGTTCCAGAAATTGATGAAGGCAAAAAAAAAAAAAAAAAAGCACGTTGTGTATTCTAGCCATATACTACTACTAGTGTGATTTTTTTTACATTCTGTAGTGTAGAAGGGCTAGGAATTGGCAGAAGTCCTCCTCCACTCATCAGGCTGGCCACAGGTGTTGCAGGAGCCAAAAGCGAGAGTGCCTTTGCCTCTTCTGGGATTTTTCCTAAGGAACAAGAGCACCAGGATTAGAGAGGCCAATGGAGAGGTCTTCAGCTGCTTCTGCTAAGACCCAAGATTAAGGAGAGTGTTTCAACAGCCTAGTGCTCTAACACCCACCCTAAGCATCTCCATCCCCGACCATCAACAATCAAATAAACTGAACTAGCTTTGCTACTCTCCTTTTACTATCATCACAAGACATATTGAAAACAGGATGACTTTTGCACAAAAACAGAGAAAAGAACATTGTGATGTGTCCTTTTCTCTTTAAAGAAAAATAATAACAATAAAATAACAGAACAGAACATGTAGAGAATGAGTTAACACTTTGTGGTATGGGTCACCTGTACTGGAAACATATTGGTCATGAACCATACGATATCAAGCATGGGCGCTTTTCTCCCTGGGGCGATCGTGTCGCAGTGTTGGAAAGGGTGTGCAACACAAGACAACCGTTCATGTTGGCTGCATCACACTAATAGCACATAGAACATCAGATACAGAAAAGAAGAACATTTTAGGTGTCTTTGAGAAGCCCCCCTTAAGCAGTCAGCCCTGAAAAGTGTTGCCTTTACAATAAAGTTAACAAATGTCAATTTGCCAAATACGTTTCAGCCAAGGTTGGTACAACAATCAGTAGATACGCATGCTCTGTGCTTACAGTGACTACAGTACTAATGGGTGAACAGACTGTTGTGCTCCTTAATGAGTGAACGACTAAATTAAACCTCAACCTTGATTTTTAACTACTTCATTAGTAATAACAATGTTCCCCAAAACCATGCAATGAAGTTCAAAATGCAATGGTGTCAGCTGTATTGATCTGATCTACTGATCTTGTCATTACAATAGGTTAAACAGAGTGCCTTGCAAAAATAAACAATTTAAAAAATTCTGTTTTTTACTGAATTACAGATCCTACACAGTCTATATATTATAAAACATTCAACATTTTTTGGTTGGGAAATGTCTTCGAGCCGGGATTCAAACTTGGGACGCCCTGACATGCTACTACACTATATGTTGGTGCGCTAACCACTAGGTTATTGCGCCGACAAAATTCAACATTCTGCCATGTGAATAGCACATGTAATTAATTAATACATTTATTATTATGTCTTTTTTTACATGATTAATAAATCTTTGCTAATTGTTACAACAATGAAACATGCTGCCCTATAAAATGTGCATAGAAAAGAATGCAAGAAAATACAAGGTCAAAACACATTAATATTTTAGAGGCTGCTGAACAAACTCTAATGATGGTATCATTTCAAAAATCAATTTAGAACATGAATCAACTATAAAGATTTTTCACCAAAATACAGAAACCGTTTTTTTTGTGTGTGTGTGTGTGTGTGTGTGTAAGCAGTACTTTAAAAATACTCAAAAATGTATGTGTCAATGTTTTCAAACTTATTATTATTATAAAGTTAATAATTTTTGTTCTATAAAAAGCCATTTTTTCCCTTTTGATTATTATTATTTATTTTGGGTTGTGCAGTTTAATTTACAGAATTTCTACAAAGTATGTTGTATACTGCAATCTTGCATTCAGTTAAAGTCAGAATTATTAGCCCCTCTTTGATTTTATTTTTAATCTTTTTCCCAAATGATGTTTAACAGAGCAAGGAAAATTTTACAGTATGTTTGATAATATTTTTTCTTCAGGAGAAAGTCTAATTTGTTTTATTTCAGTTAAAATAAAAGCAGTTTTACATTTTTTAAAATCATTTTAAGGTCAAAATTATTAGCCCCTTTAAGCTATATATTTTTTTGATACTCTATAGAACAAATCATCATTAAACAATAACTTGCCTAATAACCTTAACCTGCCTTGTTAACCTAAATAACCTAGTTAAGCCTTTAAATGTCACTTTAAGCTTTATAGAAGTGTCTTGAAAAAACATCTAATAAAATATTATTTACTGTCATTATAGTAAAAAGATAAAAGAAATCAGTTATTCGAGATGAGTAATTAAAACTATTATGTTTAGAAATGTGTTAGAAAAAAATCTTATTACTGTTAAACAGAAATTGGGGAAAAAATAAACAAGGGGGCTAATAATTCAGACTTCAACTGTACGTAAAATAATAACGCATGTTTACAAATAAACACGTTTAGAGATTACATTTTTCTGGTCCCTTAACTCTGTGGCCAGATGTTTTGAAAAATTTAAATAGACAATTGTATATTAAACAGATGTTTCAGTATATACAACAATTGTTTAATATATAATATATAATGTTAACATACTATTAACCATGTGAATTTATGTTTTGAGTTTTTACTGCAAATGTCACATCCATAACGCTGGAATTGCTCATATGCTATTTATCCGTGTTTGAATAAATATTACTGTAACTTAAAAAGAATTTATTTAATTTAATTTATTGCTACTTAAATGTTTATAACATTAAAGTCGTAAAATATTTTTTGCACTGTTTTTCCTAAGGTGAAAAATTAATTAATCGGCTGAAAAAAATGTTTGCTTCAATCAAGTCTTTCCATTTGCTTCTGCATTTGGAGCAAGTTGGTGTCCACTTAATGGCATTCATAGCAATATTCTTAACCATGCCCCTCTCACTGTTAGTTTGCCAAAGGAGAATGATGCTCAAAAGAAACCCCCACCCCTTACTCAATTTTCTGTTACAGTTGGAAGTACATCAACATACTTAAATAAAAGTCTCAGCAACCGGTTCACATGGACTTTTAAGGAAAGAAAAAAAAAACATTTAAGGAAATATTTTTAAAAAAATGCTTACATTTATTGTGTGGTTCCAAAATATGAACAAGAATAACTGAATATCAGTAAATGTTATTCAGCAAAATTACCTGATGAAAGGTCTGAATACTTTTGCAAGGTACTGTGCAATAATGTTAAATAAAAAAGAAAATGAATGTGTAATTTTTCAAATTGAAACTTGGAGCAGATCAGTGGAGAGGAGCGAGAGAAAGAGAGAGAGAGGAGATCTTAATACATTAGACATCTGAAACAGCTGCCCTTGTACCGTTCAAACTTCCCTCCAAAACTGGGCGCCAAGTCAACCTGGACAGCTTTGAAAGACAGGCAAAGGTGTGCAACTGTGGGATTGGGGACGAGGGACAAGGGGACAGGTAAACAGCAAAAAAAAAAAAAAAAAAAAAACACAATGAATATGCAACTCTTCTAAGAGGCAAAAAAAGACAACATGTGAGAGAAATAAATGAAAGAACAAAAGAAAATCAACAACAAAATAAAAAAGAAAATGAAAATAAAAATTAAAGAAAATAAAAAGAGACAAGGTGTCCATCTCGGAAGGTTCAGCGGCTATGCTCCTGGTCACATTCCCCCTTTGAAGGCAGCGTGGGCCCCGGCGGGTATAGTGGCTTGGAAAACAAAGCCTTGAGTCAGGCTAGTGTAGTAGTGTAGCCTGGGTCACTCTAGTCATCTGATATGCACACATAATCAACACAGAAAAAACATACAGAAACCAAATTAATCAACGTAGTAAGCCATCCAGAACCAAGTCACGAGGACAAGCATTTCAGGCAAGAGGGAGGCTCTACTCTATTTGATATGTTTTTTTGTTGTTGTTGGTGTTGTTTTTTAAATGAATATGGATGTTTACTGTAAAAGAAACAAGTGGTTAGCCAGTAGTTGCTCTCTAGACTTGCGAAGACCTCACCCTTTCACCTCATAGCCTGCTTAAGACGGCCAGTTTCGTTTTCTTAAATTTGCATAAAAATCTTGGGTATTAAAATATTGCTTGCCATTACTTATAAAATAAAGTCATATGATGTTTATTGATCATTTTCCTGACAGTTTTATATATGCTTGTGGCAGATGTCTGATTGCAGTTTTAAGTTTTGATTGGTGTTATTTTGTGTACAGACATTAATGTGTTAAGACACCCCACCCCTAGTGATTGTAAAGCATGTTGGGTGTATGGCCATCCACACATAAAAGCGCTATATAAATACACATTACATTACATTCTTTAGGGATGTAGTGATTCACTTGAGAAACTGAAATTTGTTACATAACAAATAACAAAATTACATTAAAAATTACAAAAAGAGTGGCAAATCAAACAAAGGACAAAAATATAGATCTCTTCATATAAACCAAGGTGCCCAAACTTGGTCCTGGAGGGCCGGTTTGATGCAGTGTTTAGCTTTAACCCTAATTAAACACATCCAAACAGGGTAATTAAGCCATTAATAGGTATACTTGAAGCAAACTGGAATCAAACTCTGCAGAACACCAGTCCTCCAGGACCAAGTTTGGGCACCTCTGAATGTAAAGCATTGCCTATGCTTTTTGTTCAGAAAATTCACCACTTCAGAAAATGCTGAGATCGTTCACTTTCATACTTATTGCAGTATTATAGTGTTTTAATCACTAAAGTCATTTTTTATATAAAAGTTTAGTATTATTAAGTTTATAAACTGAAAGTGTCTACTTTGTCCTTTACAGAAGGCTGCTTTCACTGAATTTGTGAAATTTTCACTGGATTTGTGAACAACATATAATTTTGATCTGCAACAGACCCTGACCTTCATTGACAAGCATTATAAGTTCATGTGACTACGAATCGAAAGCAAAAGCAGAGCGTATTCAAAAGTGATTTCTACTTTTCATATTGATAGCGACTTCCTTTTTTGCATATTATACACAGCATAAACGTCATGTGCATTTTCTAATATATCCATATATTGCTATATTACTCATATCCACATCATTTTTTAATAAATGTGTTGCAGATAGGTTTGCTACTGTTTAACAGACCAACTAATAGCTTGTTTTCACTGAGCACTACAGTTCGTTTCCACAGTCAGGAGTACCAAAATTTGGAACCATAGTGTACCTCTTTTTTGGGACCCTTTCATAAATGTGCACATCATAACAAAATGATAGAGCTAGACTCGCTGCTAGACACTATTGGTTTACAAAGAATCATCATTTGTGTCTGCGACAAGCCAGGGGAATGAAGATATGTGAACAGCCCATATACAGCTTTCTTTCGCGAAATAGCCTACTGTAACGTCTGTAATTATATAAAATAAATAAATAAATGAACATATATAAACACATACAGCCCCTTAGTCTCCGATATGTTACCAACTAAAGAAAAACTACACACAGCATACATTTTGTTCTTATTTAGGTTCAAAACAACACAAATTTAAAAAAAAATGAAAACCTCTTAACTGTAACTGTAATTTTCAGCAGCACGTGCAGCCTCTGTTAGAGAGTCATTCCATTATTCCGAGTTTATATTAGTCCAAAAGGTGACGATACAAATTAAAAAAAGGCAGTTTGTTCATGTTTGCTGAAGAAATAACGTGCCCTTTTTTTCCCGGCTTCTCCTTTTTTCGCTCTTCACTCTCGCGTTTTTCAGTGTCTGACAGGATCGCGTTTTAAAAGTACGTCAATAATCAAGCACACATTATTATCATCAGCTTAAGACGTTTGTGTATGTCAGATATAGACATGCGGCGTGCGCAAGGAAGAAAGCGAAACTGCTCGCGCTTCAGACTGGCTCGTAAAAAACTACGAGGCACAGGGTAGATTCTGCTCTACTCCATGGCTTTATGGTTGTCCATCAAGATGACGACAAGGTTTGTTTGAGCCCGGATCGACCATGGCTCATTATTATATGTATAATTCCGCTGTAATCTTTCGCTGTGTATTTCAAACAAGGCAGTTTTTTTGTTTTCATTCTGGCTTGTTGCGTAAGCGAATGACGTATCTCTGTAAACCAATAGCGTTCAGCTACACGTCTAGCTCTGCCTTTTGGTTTCCTTTCTCGTGTTTGGTACCCTTTTGAAAGGGTGCTGAAAAAGTGGTACGGTACGGTTCGGTTCAGTATGCCTTTTGACAGTAGAAACGGCCATAAAAGCGTACCAAACGTAACTATACCAAACCGTAGAACTTATGGAAACAGGCCAATAGTATACTGTACTGTTGTATTGCTCAAACTAGGCACTACGTGAAAAATTACTTATTTAATTTATGTTTAACTACTTATTTAATTCATTTTTTTTATGTGTGTGTGTGGGGGGGGGGGGGGGGGCATGGTTGTTTTATGGTAAATTCACTTGTAGTTAAAAATGATTAAGATTACTTTAAAGGTGCAGTATGTAAGCTTGACACCGCGTTCCTCCTAGTTTAAAACACATTTTAACTCGGCCCCTCCTCTGTTGACTCTACGCAATTGCAGGTTGCCAGATTGACAACACCAACAGCAGTGTACCTGACTGTAAAGCCTAGAGGCTGATTTAAATCGTGCTCTAAATAAAAGCAACGGCACACAATAGAGACAATATTTTCCATTCTTAAAGAAGTTGTTGTTCTAACCAACGTCTGAAATGTATATTTTAAAAACGGTTTATATTTTTTTGTAGCTGAATAACAGGATAAACTGACAATAATCACTTCAGGTACACCTCATGCTTTATTTAGTGTCAAATGCTTTTACTGTAAGTTTAAATGTCAATTTACAAGATGTATATTGACATTACTGAAAGCAGCAGCAGATAGTTTACCTCTTACATCTTGAAAATAAAATAAACCATTAGAAATTGAACTTTACAACTGTAACTCAGTGCAAGCCAGCACGTATCAGTAATTTAGCATCTACATTTAATAATCTTAAAGAGATTTAATATGTATTAATTATATTATAAACCTTACCATTTGATTGGAATGCAGTAAGTGCACTATTCTGTGCTTCTGTTTGTAAAATTTAAATTTTTCGGTAATTAATAACCACCTCGTGGAACTCTGAATTTGCATCTCATTTGAAAGTTTGCTACTGTCCACTGGAGGTTGCATTTCGGTCACGAACGCACTTTGAGAGCCTTCCTGTCTGAATAAACGAAATATGCTGTTTTCCACAAAGGCAAACCGAAGGGCTGAAATACAATTGGCTAAACTGGTATTTGGCTGGTTAAAGGGATCAAAACTAAGACAGACGTTCCGGCACGTAATGCACATTTTCAAAGCAGAATATCTGACTTCAGCATTGTTTTTCAGATAAACAAGTGTGTTCACTTAGCATGTTTCTTAAATATCTGCAAACATATTATGATATTTTTTATGCTTTAAAAGAGTCAAGAACTTACATACAGCACCTTTAATCGATTTGTGTAGTGACAACATGAAGGAATTGTGTGAAACTCAATACAAGTGAAACTTAATATAGCTTAAGCTCCACCTGCAGTTTATACTCTGTATGACTATGCCTTTAACGCCTCAACCATCTAGAATCATTACATACTTTCATAAATTTAAATCAGTTCAGAGTGTATCATAACATCCCTAATATGTAATAAAGCTCATTCAGAAGAATGTAGAATTTGTTTCATTATGCATTTGTAAAAGTCATAAATCACCAATCTGTTAAATGAATTAAAAATACCAGCGTGGCAAGCTGTTACTGCTACTCTGTTTGCAGTTACTGTGAACTGCAGGCTATTCTTGTATTTCCTGAAAGCAGAAGCATCTAATGTTTTAGTAAACAAAACCTCTCGCAATTCACAATACAGCCAGCAACTGAAAGTCAAAATTCAAAGCTATATAAACCAGCCACGATAAGCAATAGCAACAAACAACTACAAGTGCATAGCATTATTCCACTCCAAATAATTCGATTTTCAGCAGATCTTCAAAACTACTTTTGTTTGTTGAGAATTTTACAATAAAAACAGTAAAACCGTTTTTTAGCATTTTGCAATGAAAAATTGTACTAATCACTGAAAAACTAGGAATACAATTTAGGTTCTATTTATAATTGATATTATTATGCATCTTGGTCAATTCAGTCACAAGTTGACAACACTAAATACAGGCAAAAATGGGTAGAGAAATGTTGACCGTGTCTATTAGCAAGCTCAGAAGTCAGGCTGGTTGATAAGATGATATATATCAACAATGTCAACGAGTATGGTGATGTCAAAAATGACATTGAATTATCTGGCAATAATCAACATCATTGGGGAAACATAAATATGATAACATGGTGTACGTGCAACTATAGGCAAATTAATATTTAATTAGTCAAGACGGCAAGATGAAGTGTGATTTCAGGTATTATTAAATTGTAGAAGTAGTTTAAAATTATTTGTACATATTAATAAGAAATCACCAATGTAATTCTAAACTAAATTTGCCTTATTTTATCTGCCATAAAAAAAAAAAAATTCAGTCATCTAAACAAAAGGTTGTGTGCCTATGACATTGACATAACTTTTTATCCTGATATGTGGTTTGAAAATGAATGAGTGAAAGATAAATAGAAATCATGAGATGCAGGGTCAGCAAACACAATTATCTTTTTTCCACGAAGACTATACAGTATCAATATTGCCTCTATAATATTTAGGAAACTTACTTGTGTGCAATTTTAGGGGCAAATGAAAGTGTTCTTTTTGGAGGATGAGGTTC